GGAGACAACTAACGAATAACTATTTACAAACAAGCTATATACAGGAAATAATTAATAGAAGGAGGGCACTAGAATTAAGGGTGTTGGAGAAAGGCTTCCTGTAGAAGGTGAGATTTTAACTGGGTTTTTAAGGAAGCCAAAGAAGAAAGCCAGGAGGTGGAGATGAGAAAGGAGAGTATTCTAGACATGAGGAACAGCCAGTGAAAATCCTGGAGGTGAGACAAAGAGTGTTTTAGATTAAGGAAAAACAAGAATACCAGTGTAACGTTTGCAGAGTACATGGAGGGAAAGGAGGGGGTTGTAAGGTGTAAAAAGACTGGAAAGGTAGCAGGTGGCCAGGTTATGAAGGGGTTTGATTGTCAAACAGGATTTTATATTTGATCCTGGAGGTGATAGGGAGTCACTGGATTTTATGGAAAAGGCGTGGTGGTGACATGGTCAGACCTGTGCTTTAGGAAGATCATTTTGACAGGTGAGTGGAGGATGGACTGGAGTTGGGAGAGATTTGTGGCAGGCACACCAACCAGCAGACTACTGCAGTAGTCTAGGTATGAACTGATGAGGGTCTGCACCAAGCTGTGCTGTGTCCAAGGAGGGAAGGGGCATATTTGAGAGATGTTGCAAAGGTCAACATTGCCAAGACTTGGCAACACATTGGATGTGAGGGGTGAGACTTAACAACATATTGGTTATGGGAGGTTAGAGAGGGAGGTGTTGAAGATGACACCTAGGTTGCCAGTGGGTGGTACTCTGGACAATAATAGGGAAGTTTGGAAGGTGAGAGGGTTTGGGGGGAAAGACAAATTCAATTTTAGACATATTGAGTTTAAAATGTCTATGAGACATCCAGTTTTAGATGTCCAAATGGCAGTTGGAGCTGTGAGTCTGGAGGTTAGGGGAGAGGGTCGAGTTGTCCTCCTTAAGGATTTCCAACTTGCCTTGGTAAAGGGGACATTGACAGTGGTACTATGAGTCCTTTTTCTTAGTGTCAGCAGTGAGTCCTTGAACCAAAAGGAGCAGCTCTGCAGGTATAAAGAATAGGGTGTTTGTGGATTGTTCATGAATATAGTCAAAGCTAATACATAGCTTTTGTGGACTGCTACCATCTTGTGGGCAGCTGACTTTCAGGGGTCATGTCAGATGACAATGACTTTATTACCATCTGAGATGTTAAGCCTAGTTTTGCAAAGGTCAAAATGACCATCAGTCCTGTATGTTCCTCCATTGGCACTCTGGTGAAGCCTATGGGCCTCTTCTCCAAATGATATTTCTGAATAATTGAAGGAAATATTAAATTTCAATTAGAGAAAATAAAGATGTGATTTTTCCCTCCATCCAAGTTCACTAAGGCCTTGTAATCTATTTGTTGTTGTTGTTGAATTGTTCAGTTGTATCTGACTTTTCATAACCCCATCAATCATAGTATGTTAGACCCTTCTACTCTCCACTATCTCTCAAAGTTCAAGTTTTAATCCAGGTTCATCTTTGTTATTTCCATGACACTATCTATCCATCTCATCCTGTGCCATCCCCTTTTTCCTTTTGCCTCCAATCTCTGCCAACATCAGGATCTTCTCCAATGAGTCCCATCTTTTCATTAGGTGGCCAAAGTATTTATTTAAGTTTCAGCTTCAGTATTTAACCTTCCAATGAATAGCCTGAATTAATTTCCTTAAGTATTTACTGATTTGATTTCATTGCTGTCCAAGGGGCTCTCAAAAGTTTTCTCCAGCATCACAATTTCAAAGTATTGATTCTGCAGTGCTCAGCTTTCCTTGTAGTCCAACTCTCACAGTTATACATGACTACTGGAAAAACTGCAAATTTGACTATATGGATCTTCATCAATAAGTGATGTCTCTGCTTTTTAGTATGCTATCTAGATTTGCCATAGCTTTCCTTCTGAGGAGCAAGTGTTTTTTAATTTCATGGCTGCAGTTGCTGTCTGATTGATCTTTGAGTACAAGAATATAAAATCTGACACTGCTTCCATTTCTTCTCCCTCCGTTTGCCAGGAAATGAAAGGACCAGTTGCCAAGTTTGTTTTTTTATTTTAAGCTTCAAGCCAGCTTTTACACTCTCCTCTTTCACCCTCATCAAGAGGCTTCTTAATTCTTCTTCACTTTCTGCCATCAGAGTGGTATCATTTGCATATCTGAGATTGTTGATATTTCTTCTAGCAACCTTAATTCTAGCTTTTGATTTGTCCATCCTGGAGATGTGAAACTCTGCATGGAAGTTAAATAAATAAAATGACAGTATACAGCCTTCACATACTACTTTTCTAAACTTAAACCAATCAACTGTTCCATGCTCAGTTCTAACTGTTGCTTCTTGGCCCCCATACAAGTTCCTTAGGAGACAAGTAAGATGATATGGTATTCTCTCTGAAGACTTGCCATATTTTGTTGTGATGCACACAATAAAAGATTTTAGTGTAGTCAATGAAGCAGAAGTAGATGTTTCTCTAGAACTTCCTTGCTCTCTCTATAATCCAGCAAATGTTGGCAATTTGGTCTCTTGTTCTTCTGCCTCTTTAAAAACTAGCCTGCTCTTCTGGTAATTCTTGGTTCACATATTGCTAAAGCCTAGCTTGCAGAATCTGAAGAACCTTGCTGGAATGAGAAATTGGCACAATTGTTCAGTACTTTGTACATTCCTTGGCATTGCCCTTCATTAGGATTAGGACCTAAATTGATTTTTTCCAATCTAGTGGCCACTGTTGAGTTTTTCAAATTTGTTGGCATATTGGGTGCAGCACTTTAACAGCATCATCTTTTAGGATTTTAAATAGCTTAGCTGGAATCCCATCACCTTCACTAGCCTTATTGTTAACAATGGTCCACTTGACTTTATTCTCCAGGTTGTCTCGGTCTAGATTAGTAATCATACCATCATGGTTATTGGTGATGTTAAGATCTTTCTTGTATAGTTCTTTTGTGTATTCTTGCCACCTCTTCTTAATCTCTTCTGCCTCTGTTAAGTTCCTACCGTTTTTGCCTTTATCATAAATGTTTTTTCATGAAATATTTCCTTGATGTCTCTAATTTTCTTGAAGAGATGTCTTCCCCATTCTGTTGTTTTCTCCTATTTCTTTTTATTGCTCATTTAAGAAAACACAATAAGTTGTCCATCTATGATGTCTGTCCATGATATATATGTGCTGATGAACTAACTCAAAGTACTGTGTTTCTAGAGGCATACCATAATTTGGCCAATAGGCATTTTAATCTACCTAGATTTTCCTGTGCAAATAGGCATATCAGTCTCCTTTGCTTTACTGTGAGTTGGTAGCAAGAGATTAAGCTAAATCACATCTGGAAAATTGTGTAGTACTTTCTATGTTCCTAAGCTGTCCCAAGACATAAATGCCTATCTCTCTTTTCATTTTCCTTTTTGTTTTTGAACTAACAAGACTTTTACTTTCTCTCACTCCCACCTACCTTTATTTTAAAAGGAAAAAGGAAAAACAAAATCCTGGTAACAAATATTCATAGTCAAACCAAAAAAAATCCCATATTGTCTCTGTCATTCATATCTCATTCTGCATCATGAATCCATCATGCTTCTCTCAGGAAATGGGTAGCATTCAGTCTTCTGGAATCAGGAGGGTCATTTTGTATGGTTAAGAAATCTTAAATCTTTTAAAGTGTTAGTTTTTACAGTATTGTTATTGTGTAAATTGTTCTCCTCATTCCACTCACACTACTCTGCATTGGTTCATACAAATGTACCCATGTTTCTCTAACCCCCATCTCTTTAACCAAGTACCAACTCTTTAACACCAATATCCTTCTGATGTTATTTAAGTCTGGTTCAGCCAAAATGACCTCCTTGCTGTTCCCTGTATATGGCATTCTATTTCCCAGCTCCCATGCCTTTATACAACCCGTCCCCTGTGCTTGAAATCTCTTCCCTAGCATTTACCTTGGACACTCTCTAGCTCCCTCCAAAGCAAGCTCAGATGCCACATCCTTATAGAGGCCTTTCCTAATCTCCCCATTTGTCTGTGCTTCAGCTCTCCACTCCTAAATTACTTTGTATTTATTCTGTGTACATATTGGGGCTCCTCCCAGTAGAATGTAAGCCCCTTGAGGGCAGCTTCATTTTTTTTTTGTCTTTATCCCCGAGAGCATAGCACAGTGCCTAGTATATAGTAGGTGTTCAATAAATGCTTGTTGAATTGAATTGAGGTGAATTTCGAAACTCTAAAATGAGTGAAAATTACATACAAGTCATCAAAAAGACACATGAAAGAGGCAAGGCAGTTGGACTTCAGTTTCCTCACCTGTACAAATGTGCTCATTGAACTCTTGTTTCATGCTCATTATGGTGCTAGACCCTGAGCAGGCATACAAAAATATAACAACAGGGCTGTAGCCCTTCAGGAATTCATGACTTACTCACTAAATGTGTGTTAGGCTCATTTGAATTCATAGGATTATCCATTTAGGGCTGAAAGCTCTAGTCCATATATATTTCTAGTTAGAAATCACCTAGTCCAAGCCCTTTGTTGGACAGATGAGGAAAAAGAAACCCAGAGAGCTTGTGATCTTTCCAAAGTCTCATAAAGAGTAAGGGATAGAGCTGGGACCTGAATCTGGGTCTTCCAGCTCCAAATCCAGTACTCTCAATACTACACTATACTGTCTCTTTACCCATCTTCTCATGACCTTTACACACTTACTGTTGGAAAGAAATAACTGTGACCTGGTCCAGAGAGTTCAGATTCTATGGGTCATCCCCTGTTTTGGTGCCTCTCCTTCCTCTTTCCATAGAGGAGGAATGGAATGCCTGAATAAGAAAAAAGTTGGAGAAGAAAAAAGTGACTCTCTCTCTCTCTCTCTCTCTCTCTCTCTCTCTTTCTCTATTTTTCTCTCTCTTTCTCCTTCCTCACCTCCCTCCCTATATCTCTCCTTCCTTCCTTCTTTCCTTCCTTTCTTTCTCCCTTCCTTCCTCTCTTTTTCTTCCTTCCCCTTTTCCTCTCTTTGTTGTTTTAGGAACAATGCTTCAAACATAGTGAACTTTCTAAGACACCACCTGAAGGAAGAAAATGCCAAGAACAATTAGCAGTAGAAATAGAAACCACCAAAGAAGAGGAAGAAAGGTAAAGGAGGCTCATCCCTTATGACTAATGATGACAGTTTGCCTTCAGGTAGCACTTTGTTATAAAGTGCTTTATGTACTTCATTTCCTTTGGCCTTGACAGCATTACTGTGAGACAAGCAGAGGTGGTCTGATTTTCCAGATGGGGAAATTAAGATTCTCAGAGGTTGAGCAAGTTGCTTATGATCACCTTATTAATAAATGACAGAGGTAGCACTTGGCCCAAGTATCCTTTTCACTATAGCAAATTGAGTACATGAGAGCTCTACAATGGAAGAGAATAGTTCTCTGTCTTAGGAAAGTTTGAAGAAGGGGTGGGTTTAGGGTGGAGTATTTTAATAATTCCTCATATCTATTTGATACTTTATGGCTTATAGTGTTTTCCTCAAAAATAATCCTGTAAAGCAGGTAGTATAAGTGTCATTGTTATTTACCTACAGATGGGGAAATCGAGGCTTAGAGATGTTATAGGTCCAAAGTGAATCAGCTTTGCCAAGGCTACACAACTGATGCATGTGAGAGCCAGAATTAAAACCTGGTTTTTCCAACTCAAGTCCCATGTGCTTTCCCCCATGACCACACTAAGCTGCCATTCCACAATATTTCTTGGAATGTCCTCTGTACAAAGACCTGTTTGAGGATCTGAGAAGGATGTGTCTATGAGGCCCCCACCCTTCAACTCTTACTGTTTAAATGGTGAAATGGGAAATATATGAAACAATATGACAGTGCAGGTTGGCCTAAGACTAGGTGTCAAAATGAATCCTACTGAGAGCAAGGACTATCATATCTTCAGGTACCTGCTCTCTCCCTGACATAACTGTGATTCTTTATTTCTCCAATAGAGAGAAAACTCCCCTTTCCCTTCCTCCTTTCCTCTGCCATACATAGATCTTAGGATTTAGAACGAGAGGGAACCTTAGAGATTGTCTAGTTCAGCTTTCTCATTTTACAGGTGATGAAAATTTGGTCCAAAGACTTTAAATGACTAGTTCAAGTTTATACAGGTAAATGGCATTTGACCCCATATCCCCTGCTTGTAAGTCCAGGGCTCTTTCTGCCCCACCAAACTATTAGCTCTTTTAACAAGAATTCAGAGACCATAGCACCTGGTAGTAGAATAATGATAAACAGAAGTCAGAGTCTTGAAACCCCATAGGCAGGAACTGGCCACAGGTTCCAACTCTGACATGCACTAATACTGTGTGACCTTGGGTAAAGCACTCAGTTCATCAGCTAGTAGTTATTTAGCACCTGTTCTGTGTCAAGCCTGGTGCTAGCTCCTGGGAATAGAAATATCAAAATGAGAAAGGCCTCAAAGAATGTACATCCTATTGGAAGGATACAACATGTTCATAGATAAGTTAACAACAACAAAAACAACAATAAGAATAATAGCACCTAATATTTATATAGTGTTTACTATATGCCGTGTACTGTGGTATGAATTGAGAGAAGGGGATGGATTCTAGAGATGCTGAGAAGGTGGAATCCATAAAGCTTGGTAACTGATTAGATATGGATGAGTGAGCGAGAGGGAAGAGGCAAGGATGATTGAAGTTCTGAACCTTGAAAAATGGTGGCGCTTTCAACAGAAATATGGAATTTAGGAGGAGTGGGTTTAGAGGGATGGATACTGAGATTTGCTTTGGACATGTTGAGTCTGGATTGCCTACAGGGGGGCAGCTAGATGGTGCTAGTCTAGCGTCAGCAGGAACTGTGGGGCACTCTAGCAATGTAAATCACTTAATCTATCTAAGCTTTAGTTTCCTTAATTATAAAATAAGGGGGTTGGATTCATTGGCCTCTAAGGACCCTTCCAGCTCTAAATCTATGGTACTGTGATTAAGTTTACAGTTTTAAAAAGGAAATTTTGAACAGAAGGAAGGCGAGAAAAAAGGCCAGATAATCAAGACAATGTCAAAAACTGAGGTTGATCTTATTGTATATACTTAACAGGAAGGTGCACATAACAGAGACCGCCTGTTTCATTGCAGTTCTTCCCTCTGCCTTTTCTATTATGTACATTCAAATGCCCATTCTATTTGGTGTTTCTTAAGTTCAGAATAAAAATGAAAATTAGAAAGAAATGCCAATAGAGTATCTAGGTGTAAATGCTGAGTAGACAGTTGGGGATGCAGGATTGAAGCTTCTCAGGAGAGAGGTGGGGAGTGTCCTGATGCTCAGTTGGATAGCATGAACTTAAAGGAAGAGGGTTTGTTGAGTGACAGTATCAGAGACACTATACAGATCTGGAGGTGGTAGTGCAGGTCTAAGAAGTAAAAGATTATTATGGCAATTGTCTGAAAAAGATCTGGTGGTTTTAGGGCACTTCATCCTCAATATGACCAAAAGTGTTACACAGGCTTGTCCCTTCTGAATATCTTGCCACTGATGGACAGCAATGATGAAAGTACCACCCATGCCCCCATGGCCTACAGTTTCTTTTCCAAGATTCTGTAATCCTTATCCCTAACAATGCTTTCTTGCTTCCCTTTGGGAGTTTCTTCTGTACCTACCTAAGTCATGAGAAGTGGGTAATAGTCATCTGTTTTGACAAATCTTGGAAGAGTCTGTCCCAGCTTGCGTGAATTCCTGCCCTGTTATCCAGCTGACAAAGAGCTACCTCCGTCCTGCTGAGTATCTGAGGCTGCATTTGAACTCAGGTCCTCCTGACTCCAGGGCTGGCACTCTACCTACTGCACTGCCTAGCTGCCATATACTATTTATAGAGTACACTATTAAATAATGTGCTATGTATTATTTACTATAGTATATGCTGTATGCTATTTACATATTATATATATATATATGTATACACACACACACCACACATATATTTGATATTTACTTATCTAGGTGGCATAGTGCTTAGAATGCAGGGCTTGGAGTCAGGGGGTTCTGAGCCCAAACCCTGTCTCAGATACTTCCTAGCTGTATGACCCTAGGAATGTCACCTAACCTCTCTGTGCCTCAGTTTCCTTATCTATAAAATGGGGATAGTAGCACTCATCTCATAGGGTGGTTGTGAGGACCAAGTGAGCTAACACATGTAAAGTGCTTTGCAGAACTTAAAGTACTATATAGATACCTTGTTGTTGTCCTGCTCCACTCCCAGCCCCCTTGAATGTAAGCTCCTTGAGGGCAGGGACTGTTTTTCTCTTGTCTCTGCATGCCTATTACTTTCTACAGTACATAGTCCATAGAAGAAACTTCATCAATCTGCTGAATTTCGTTCTGAAGTTCTATGCTAATACACAATTTGATCACTGTATCTTTAAAGGTTGGAAAGATCCTACAGATGGAAAGATAACAAACAGCCTCCTCTCCTGAAAGAGGAGGCGTCTCAAACGCAGACTTTGCCAGAAGACTGGCAGAACCAGAGAGCCAGTTTGCAAGTACAGGTAGAATGGGGCCATTGCCATGGATTACCCAGCTGGCATTATTTTATGTCTTCCCATCTTGGGTACAAATGAAGCTCTTTATGCTCATGTGTGTTGTGGGGGCAGGGGTTGGGGAGTGCTTTGGATCTTTTTTATCCTAGGTTGACCCATTCCTGTTCTCCCTCTGTCTTCTACTTGTAGAAGCAGCATGCAATAGTGGACAAAATTAGAAGGGACTTAGACTCCTTCCCAGGACTCTAGGAACTTGGAGTTCAGACGATCTGGGTTCAAATTCTGATTCAGACATTTTCTAGTTGATTGTTCCTGAGCAAGTCACTTAAACTCTATATGCCTTAGTTTCCTCATCTGTAAAATGAGAGAATTGAACTCGATGGCCTTTGATGTCCCTTCTAATGCTAAAGCTATGATGTTATGACTCCTCCCCTGCTTCTCAAACCCAGGTCTTCTTTCTGTGGAGCTCCTTTGATGGGAGGCCCTCCATACCTGAGAGGTACCTTGGGAAGGCCCTGGTCTTCACCGGGGATAATAATAGCTAATATTACAATGCTTTTTAGTTTTGCAACATACGTAAGCATGCTTTGCAGCATTAGTATCTCATTTGATCCTTGCAACAAACCTGCAAGGCAGGAGCTATGGTTTTCCTCACTTTAAGGATGAAGATACTGAGTCTGAGTAAGGTCACGTGACTTGACCAGAGTCACACACCTAGTAAGTATCTGAAGCAGAATCTGAACTCAGGACTTCTTGACTCCAAGTGTTCTGTATACACTGTCAAGCTTGTCATATCAAATCTCTTCTTAGCACTCCCTGTATCAACCTACTTACCCTTTTGCCTCATCTTTAATATTCCTTTTCTTAACTATACTCAATAAAAGTGCCCTCTCCCTTCCTGGAGACCTTTACCCACTCCATCTAGCCCACCTCACCCAGTCCGTGACAGCCCTCGTGGGACTGGAAAACTAGCCCATCTGTTCCCAAGACTGCTTATTTTTGCTCTCTTGACACTCCCGTAAAGTTTGATGATGATAGTACTTTCCCAGACAGAGGGTTCCCAGTGAACCATAACCCTAGAGGGAGCCTTTGTTAGGGGAAAGAAAAAACAACCAAGGAAAAAAAAACCCACCGTTACAAAACAAAACAAAACAACAACAACAACAACAACAAAGCCCCATCCCACCCCTGGGTAAGAGCTCTGGGGTGCTGAGTGAATGGTCCTATTCTTTGAAGATTTCCCGAATGAAGCAGGTTCTGGAGCAGTCTGCCCATAACCACAGAGAGGATCTGCAGAAGTTGAAGCAATTGTCTGACAAAGAACGTGAGAAGCTTTTTCGGGAACTTCAAGATCATATCAAACAAAGCCAGACTGCTAAAGCCCAGTTGGAGGCCTCCCACCAAGAAGCCCTCAAGATCATGGAAGACGCCAAAAACCAAGAACTGAAGGTAATGTCTCCATGGCAGTAAGAACACAAGCACCCCAGCTCTAGGTCAGACGCATGAGCCTTTTAGCCAGGGAGGCTTGCTCTGGGGTCGGGGCACCCAGGGATATGTTGGGGCTCTCTTCCTCGAGGTTAACCTCAGGGCATACCTTTAACATCCTAGTTCTCCTTAATGAATAACCAGGTGTGGTTCTGTCATCTGTTGACTTAATATGAAAAGAATCTATTTATATTCACAGCTTGCCCAATAACTCTGGGTTGATAGTTTTCCTAAGCTTGTAGCCCCTTTTGTGGTAACATCCCTTTATTTGTATTAGGTTTATCCTCTCCAGGTACCGAATGAGCCCATTTTTAACTTCAGAAGCTAGAGGTCACCTGGGACCAGGGCTGCTTGTGGTATGAGGGACAAAGGTGGGAGGGAAGGGTCAGGGTAGTCCCCCTCGACTGCTCCCCTCTGTGTTTGACTAGTTTGGGTACTAGAGGAGAGGCAGAGGGGCAGTGTGGTATAATGGAAAGAGCCCATGGGGGATGGGAAGTCAAAAGTCATAGCTGGATGGTGGCCAAGCTCAAAGCAGAACCATGTAGGGGGCATTTCAGGTGCATGCTTTGTGACAAACCACTGATAGCCCCATCTTTGGGTGGGGAGGATCGGGGGAGCATTCTGAAACGCTGTGCTCCTCAGCGCTTTCGTCTGTGCATGGGATGAAGTGGCGATGCGGTGTTTCTAATTGCAGCAATCAGAAAGAAGGTTTCTCTGATTTTGACAAATGGTAGGTTTTTCTCTGCTCTCCTTAGTGACTGGAAGGAGAATGAGTGAGGTACAATGATGAGAAAGTACCAAGAGATAATAGAAGACAAAGGCCCGCATCTGTAAGGCTGCCTTGGGACTAACTGAGACAGATAGATGCACAATTCTTTAAGTTCCCTGTTAGAGGGAATTGTCTAGCCTGGAGTTCAAGCAGCTGCTCATGTCTCTCACTAAGAATCTTTACACATACAAACTAAACCCAACCCTTTTGCCATCCTGGGCAGTTGCCAAAATTTTTCATTAGTCAGGAAACTCTCTCTTGTTTTGCTTTGCCTGCAGGAGGTTGAGGAGCGCCTAAAGAAAGAATACAGTCACACCTTCCAGATTCAGCATCAGTCTCATCAACTGGAACTCCAGGCCTTGGAAGAAAAGGCAAGCAAAGACCTTCAGGGGGAACGTGAGAGGATACAGAAACAGCAGGCCCTCTTGCTAGGTATACAATAAAGCAGCCATGCAGATTAGCCTGGGTTCATTTGCCCAGGGCTTCATGTCCTCATGCCAAGAAACCACAGTGGTGGGATGGAGATAAACTGAATAAGCTCTTTCTGGCCACTCAGGGTTTTCATGAGCAATGATTGTGTAATTTAACTCTCTGTGGTCCTCAGGCCTGGCACTTGGTTTAAGATGGTGGTGGGAGCTCAGGGAGATAGTAGAAAGAGTAGTGGATATGATGCGATGCTTATTTCTATCTGAATCTGTGATGTGGGAAGTAAGCTTCTGAAGGGTAGAAATTCTTCATTTTATCCTTGTATCCCCAGTGCCTAGGATGGCACTTTGCACTTAATAAATGATTGTTGAGGGGCAGCTAAGTGGCGCAGTGGATAGAGCACCAGCCCTGGAGTCAGGAGGACCCGAGTTCAAATGCGGCCTCAGACACATAACACTTACTAGCTGTGTGACCCTGGGCAAGTCACTTAACCCCATTGCCTAGCCAAAAAAGAAAAAAAAATAAAGAAAAAAAAAGAAATGATTGTTGGATTGGATATCCTAATTGACTGCCCTGTACAGAAGTAGAAAAGTGAGGTGTATATGTGTGCACGCATGCATCCATACATACATATATGGGTATATACACATATAATATACACGTTTGTATATACATGTGTGTATATGTATATATGTATGTGTGTATACACACACACATACATACATACATACACATGCACATACCCAAGAAGCTATAACTTCTAACTGACCCATATGAAAACTTGATCCATAGTTTAAGAAGCACTGAAAGGGTCACAAGTGGAGAAAGTTTAAGAAGCCCTAGAGCATTTGAAAAATTGTGCATCTGTTTGTCTCACTTAGTCCCAGTGCAGCCATGCAGATATGGGCCTTTATCTTCTATTATCTCTTGGTACTTTCTCCTCATACACATACATATACACACATACACACATATGTACTTATGTGTATGTGTATATGAGACACAGAGGAAGGCCTATCATAACCCCAGTGTTAGGAAACAAGGATGAAATCTAGAATATATTCTATATCTTGGGTGAAGATAAATGGTGTTTTATCTAATTCATTTTATAACATCTTTCTTCATCACATTCTCATTTAGTTAATGAATTGGCTATGGTCTTTCTGGTCTAATCCAAACTCTTTGTGTTTGTGTGAAAGAGATTTTTCATGTTTTTTGTTTATCTATTTAAGAAATGGAGTAAAAATTAGACTGTTTATCCTTTTGTGTCTTATTCGTAATAAAAAGTATCTTTTGCTTTTTTTTTTTTCTCAGTCTGGAAGGGAGTCCATAGGGAGAGCTTAGCCTAGGTGCTGGCAGGGCTCATCTCTCTGATAAGCAGACTCAGGCCCTGGGACACTTAACCACTCATTTCTATGCAGACCTTGGACCCTTGAGAGGAGACCAGGAAAAGGGGGTGGGGCTCAGGCCTAAAAAAAGAGCATTTCTGACTCCTGTGGGGGAGTATCAGGGTATAAAACCCAGACCTCAGCCATGCCATGCCCTGCCTTTTCTCTGTGGGACTGTCCCCCTCCTCCGTGCATATCTAATTTCCTACTCACCTTGTTGTCCCTAGATTCTCTTAGGCTGGAGTTATCAGAGCAGCATGCGTCCTTTATCAGCCAACAGAAGGAAATAGAGGAACTCGAGACTGAGCTGAAGAATCTGAGGGGACTGAAGAAACAGCAGGCAAGTTTCCAGTGCTCTACTCACAGCGCAGTGTTGTGTTTTAGAGCCAAAATGACACCTTTCCCTGTGAGAAATTTTAGAGCAAGTCTCCTGTCCCACCTCCCTCATGGATGTAGTGCATGCGTGTGTGTGTGTGTGTGTGTGTGTGTGTGTACATGCATATGTGTATCTTCCTGCATGGCTCCAGGAGTCAGACCCAAGAGTATGCCAATAGGCTCAGCCCTTTAGTCAATGGCTGTATGTCCATTCATTTGTGGTATTACTTCTGCATTTAAAAGTCTTCCTTTCTTCTAACAGGTGTCTGAAGCATTGATGAGGGTGTTTTCAAAATGAAAAGCACATTATAAATGTTGAATAAGGTTAAAAGTATGCTTTAAAAAGGCAACTTAGTAGTGTTTGCATTATGCAATTTGAGATTTGACATAGTGGGGCCCCTTGTAAAGGTCTCTAAAAAGACCTGGACTCCTACAACTTCTAGAGCTAGCCCCAGGAACTACCATCCCTCATGGGGCAGCTCTGGGATTTCCTCTAGAACTGCTCCCCTTCCCTGCCTCCCCATTCCCTCCTCCAACCTCCTGTTTCTATCATCCGGGCTCAAAAAAAGTTATCATTGACACCTTCCTTTGCACCTGCCTTTGCACCTGCCTCAGTTGGTCATGCATGAAGACTGGAGGGTCTTTCTTCTTAATGTGGTTCACACCCACCCCATCCTTTCCATTTCCACTTCTACCTTAGTCTTGATCACCTTCCACCTTAGCTCTGACCTACTGAATTATCTCCTCAGAAGTTTTCCTGGCTCCAGTCTTGTCTTCCCCTATTCCCCATTATATACCACCACCTGATTAATCTTAGTAACACCCACTGTTACCCCTTCATGAAATACCATAAAAGGTTAAAATACAAACCTCTATGTCAGTTAACATCCTTTACTCCCTGGTTCCAGATGATCACTTTGGGCTGATCATGGTTACTCTCCTTCATGCACAGTATGTTCCATTTAATCTAGCCTCTTTGATGTTCCCCACACATGACATTCCATCATCCACCTCAAAGTCTTGTCACTGTCTGCCATGCTGGATTATACTCCCTCCTTACCTCTGCCTCTTGAAAACTGTTTCCCTTCAAGGCTCAGCTAAAGTGCTATCTCCTATGGGAGCCCGATCTCATTCTCCTAGTAGTTGTCCCCTTCCAACCTCCCCTTTCCCCAAACAAATTACTCATTTTAAAATTTTGTATTCACTTAACATGTTCTTTCCAGTAGCGGGCGCCTCCTCTACTCCCCAAACTCCTTGAGGGTGGGTGCTATTTCTTCCTTGTCTTTGTATCTTCAGTATCTTGCATAGCTCCTGGCACATAGTATATGCTTAATTAATTAATTAATATGCACACAATACATAGACATACATATATATGTATATGTATATACATACACACATAAACATATACCTTCAACTTCCAGGGCTTGTAATCAATATCTCCTCTGAACTATAGTACTATGGCATATACTCTTCATTTGACTGGATGTTGTAATAGAAAGAGCACTGGATTAGGAGTCAAGAGAGACCCAAGTTCAAATTCTGCCATTTGACTAGTTGTGTGACATTATGCAAGTCACTAAACCTTTCTGAGCCTCAGTTAAGTTTCTGTGGCTACATCCATCAAGGAATCTTGTTTGATCCTAACATATGCCAGAGAAGCATCTTTAGGAAGAGAGCCTCTACAGCTGTATTTTGCCCTCTTGACTGAAATGCTGTTTTGAAACCAACCAACAGTAAACAGTGATTTTGCATTGACTTTTCTGTTAGTTGTGATTGTCTGCTCTGGAAAATCATCTATAGAAATCATCTAGAAAATCAGTTCCTTTCTTATAATTTCATCAAGCATACCCTCCAAGAGCATAGACAATTAACATAAAGATTTTTATAGAAATTATAAAGTAGGGGCAGCTAGGTGGCACAGTGGATAGAGCACTGGCCCTGAAGTCAGGAGGACTGGAGTTCAAATCCGGCCTCAGACCAAACACTTGACACATACTAGCTGTGTGACCTTGGGCAAGTCACTTAACCCCGATTGCCTCACAAAAAAAGAAAGAAAGAAAGAAAGAAATTATAAAGTAGTCATATGGCTGGGTAATTGTGGAGATCTCAACTGCCTTTTTTTTTTTTGGTAATAAAATCATACGTGAGTTCCCCCCCTTCCCTCCCATTGTCTTGGTATCCTCCCTTCTCTGAAATAGTTTAAAAATTAATCCCTCATTGCTTTCAAAATTGTTTCAACCCCCAGCAGAGATTTCTTCTATACATCCTTAGTCTGATATAACTATTTTTCCTGATGTGATCTGCTGCAAAAACAAACAAAAAAACCAAAACCTGATATCATCTTCTTAAGTTAATTTTCTGTTGGTTTTTTTTTTCGTATTGGATACTGAAGTGTTAGGGTTAAAGTGTCGTAGCTCCACTGTCACTGATAGAATCAAACACTCAGAGAAATCTGCCAGATCTGTTCCTTTTCCCCCTACTTGGTTTCTCCCAGTCTCTTCTATCAATACTTTGGTGGTGGTTTGGCATGGTTGGGTCTATTAAGATCAATCTTAATAGAGAGTACTATCAAGTCCTACATTTGGGTTTCAAAAAACTTAAGCACAAGATGAGAGAAATGTGACCAGAGAGCAGTCTTTAAGAGATGGGGGTATTAATGTATTGCAATCTCAATAGGAGTCAATGGTGCAGCCCCAAAAGGGAATATAATTTTGGGCTGAAGAAAGAAAAGCATAATGTACAGGGCAAGGAAGGTGATAGATCATCCTGCAGCACCCACCCTGGTCAGACCCCATCATGAGTATTATGCTCTTATGCACCATATTTTAGGAAGGACATTGAGGAGTTGGAGAGTAACCAGAGAAAGACAACCAGGATTATAAGAAGACTGAAGATGATGCCAGATGATGAGCACTTGAAGGATCTGGGGATATTTATCCTGGAGAACAAAAAATGAGGATGGATATGATAGCTGTTTTCAACTATCTGATAGGCTGTCATGAGGGAGAAGGCCTAGACTTTGCGCTTGTCCCTAAATAACAGAACTAGAAGCTGTGGTGGAAGTCGCCAAGGCAGATTGAGGCTTAATGTGAGGAAGAACTTCCCAAAATGCATTGTTCCTCAAAAGCGGAATAAGCCATCCCATCAAGTTGTGGGCTCTCCCCCATTTAAGGTCGTTCCGAGAAGGTTAGGTGGCCACTTACTGGGAATACTGTAAAGAAGATTCTTGGTCGGGTACGGGTTGGGCCAGATGGCCCATGTGGTTCTTTTCAACTCGGACATTCTATGATTCCATTGAACTTCTCATTTCAGCACATTGCCTTCCAGGGGTATATAAGATGGAATGAAGGAAGAGGAACCAAAGGTATAGAGAATTAGTTAGGAGGATGTTACGGAAATGCAGGGGCAAGGTGACAAAGAACAAGGATATTTGTAATATGAATAGAGACTAAGGAATGGCTATGAGATATAGTCACAACAGTTCTTAGTGAAAAACTGAGCATGGCAGGAGTGGGGGTAGGGGAGAAATGAAGAGTCAGAGATGTCTCCCAGACGTCCAAGATTTTCCTCCTGAGTCAGGATGACGCTGATAAAAACGTGGGAGGTTAAGAAGGAGGACTGGTAGGAAGATTTCAAATTTGTCGAATTTTTGAAGTGAGCATCAGATTGAAATGATAATTAGGTAAATGGAATGTACAACATGAATGGGCGATGGGTCAGACCTGGCAATGCCAGTTTTAAAGTTAGCAGCATACAGTTCAAGCTATCAGAATTAAAGAGATCCCCTGGGAGAGAACATAGACAGAGAGGGAAGAGAACAACAAAGCCAAAACTCTAGGGAACACCAACACATAGAAGCAAGAGAAGGGAAAAGAACCAGAGAAGGGCAGAGACTAGTTAGGAAAATCTTGTGACATAGAAATGTAATGAAGAGAGTTCCAAGAAGGACTCGTTGGCCAAGAGAGCTCAGTACTAAAGACAGGTCCAGTAGTATGGGCCCTGATACAAGACTGTTGGATGTGAAGGTCACTGGTGACCTTTGAGACGACAGTTTCAGTAGAGTGGTGCTGGCAGAAACCAGGTAACATGGGGTTAACAAGAGAATTTCTAAAGCATTTCTCTTTGGCTTTGGGGTAGAAAACAATAATAATTCCCATTTCTATAGTGGTTTGTAGTTATCAGAACACTTTTTCATCTACTATCTTGTTTAACATAGTTGGAAACAGGGCCAAGACCCTCTTGTTCAGACTCTCATACTTACCCCATTCTCGGCAAAGATCTGAATGCCTCCGGGCCAGACTCTGCTGCCTTAGCCTGAAACCCGCCTGAGCAGTGCCATATGTGATCACAGATAATCAAGAAAGAGAAGATTTAATTATGACAATCAGCGCATGTTGAATTCTTCCCATGTTCAGAGGTTTTTTGGATAGCTGTATTATCTCCTCACTGAAAAATAAGCTAATATTTACTGCTGTCAGAGTATAGTCACTGAAAAGCATTCATTAATTCAGCATACTTAAAATTTTTTGATGCCTTTTGCTTTTTATATCATAGTCTTTTCTTGATATATTGCCCCCTCTACCCTCCAACTGAACCCTCCCTTGTAACAAAGGGAAAAAGGCAAGAAAAACTGACTTCCCAAATGTCTAAGAGCATTTGTAGTGTTCCACACCTGCTGTCCCCCAACTTTCTACCCAGCATAGAACAATGTGTATCATCATCGGTTTTCTGTAACCAGGACTCAACAAACATTTTGTAAGTGCCTACTGCGTGCAAAGCCTTCTGTACGTCTGTGGGAAATGCAAAGATGATCACATCACAGTCCCCGTCCTCATAAAACTGACAATCAAGTAGGAGAAGTAAAAGATCTAAAAACATAACTGACAAAAATTAGAGTTTGATAAGAGCAGCTAGGTGGAAGGAAATGGCAAACCATTCCAGTATCCTTGCCAAGAAAACCCCTAAAGGGGTCACAAAGAGTCAAACATGACTGAAAATGCCTGAACAACAACAGATATAGAAACTGAGGGAGAGAGAGAGGGTAACTCCCAGACCTACGTGGTCCCTAGCCACAATTACACCAATGACTGAATAACATGATAAGTTCACAAGAGGTTCAAAGTGTTGTGAAAATTGAGAAAAGGGAAAGATCACTTCTGTCTCAGGGCATTAGGGAAGGAAGATCACATAGAGGAAATAGCATTTGAAGGGGATATGGGTCAGATTTCTACAGGTAACAGTGGGGGAAATCTGTTCCAAACATAGGGGATGGTAAATACAAAAACACTCAAGTGATAAATATAAGATGAATTCCAGAATTAGGAGTAGTCCAATTTGTCTTCAGTTTTAGAGTATGTTCTGAGGAACTGTGGGACATAATGCTGGAAAATTTAAGATTGGAGCTAGATCATGAAGGGCCTTGAATACTGCATTAAAGAGTTCAGACTTTATTCAGTAGATAAGTTTCTCCAAATGTGTTCCACAGAACACCAAGCTATCATTGCAATCCAAGGGATTGCACAAAGGTCAAAATTACTTGTAACAATGGACAAGTACACCAAGCAAACTCATCTGCTTTGCTGTCTGTGATATGATTATAATGTCTGCATTCAGATGATGGCCATTGGAGACTAATAGAAGTCAATCACAGGACTGAAAAGTTACCTTCTTACTGGCCTAGAGTCAGTCAGCGACTATGCCTAATAATATATGGCTTACAGATAATTAATTGTCAGACTGTCTTAGCAGGGTATATATAAAATAATTAGTATCTATTTACAGTTTTCTTTATCATAAATAGTGTTCATTTCAAATTCTGATCATCATTGGAAAAGATGTTGGAAAAGATTGAAGGCAAAAGGAAAAGGGGCCAATGGATGAGATAAATAGTGTTATGGAAGGCAATGAACATGAGTTTGGACAGACTTTGGGAGGTAGTGAAGGACAGAAGGGCATGGTGTGCCATAGTCCATGGGGTCCCAAAGAGTCCGACAGGACTGAACAACTGAACAACAACAATGCTGGCTGTGGATGATTTGATCAAATCAGGGAGATTTTTATCCCAGGTGCCAATAACTAAGGCTCTAACTAGGCCACAAACATCCACAAAGCTAGTTCGGGGACTAAATTCCAAACATAGGAAAAATGCAAACAGAGCAAAGGGAATCAGCAATTTGTGTTAACTTCCAGTGAGCCTGATGCAGATCATGTGTTATCTTACTAGTTCCTTAAAAAAACAAACAAACAAAAACAACTAGGATCCTGGCAAAACCAAAAAAGCAGTTACAAACAAAATACAGAGTCAAAAATGAAACTTGGTCTTTTTAAGCTAAAATATGATAATCTGAAAAAACTGACTTGTGTAACTAAGAAAGAAAGTGAAAATTATAAAGGATCTTACAAGATGAGAGATCACATCCAATGCTCTTCACTATTATAAAACATTTATCAATAGCAAAAATTCATTTCCTTCTCCACATAATTTTTGGTTATATTGTTAGATTCAGAATAAGATTGAGCTATAAGATTTCTCTTAAGTGGTACTAGTAGTAATAATTTTCAAAAATCATTTAAAAAGATTTAGTTTTCTGTTGGAGCTTTGTTTAAAGCCAACGGTCCCACCTTGCTTAACGTTTGAAAAGTTTCTGCGCAGTCAAGTGACAAGATCCAAAGTGTGCTTTTTTAAAGAAGGTTAATCTAACATTGGTGAACTGAATGGAGTGGAGTAGGGTTAAGACTATAATGGTGGAAACTAGTTAGAATGTTATTAAATAATACAGGCAAGAGGTAATGAAGGCTGCCTGGATTAGGGTGGTACTCTCAGAAGTTGACACCCTTCCAATAGTTTCAAATATATGTGATGAAGATACGGATGTTATTGGCTTCAGAGACTTGTTTTTGTTGAGAATAGGTGGCATGATGGTATACTTATATAAATTCAAAATGGAAGATAATTCAGTAATAATTAGTTATCTTAGCTATATGTTGAATAATTAAACCTCTAGACATATTTGAAATTTATTTAAAAACTGTACCAATAACCATTTTTCTGCCATCCGTTTCAAAGCATACTCCACAATACAATGCCATAAACATTTATTAAGTGCCTACTTTGTGCCAGGCACTGTGCTAAATGTTGGGGATATAAATAAGGAAAAGAAAGATAGTCCTTGCCCTCAGGGAGCTTATAATCAACATTCATTATTGGTATAAAACATTTAATCCTGTAAAAACTCCAGAGCATTAACCATTTTACAGTTAGGTTTAGCCAATGTAAAAGAAGTTCTGTCTTCAGAAAGCAGAAATCTCATTTGGGTTGCCTGGACTTGTCATCTTTGCCCTCGAAATCTGTGTTGGAACTAGGTGGCAGCACTTGGAGTCAGGAATAATAATACTTATAATAACAGTAGCAACAACAACATCTAACTTTTATGTGGTACTTGCTATGTGCCAGGCACTGTGCTGAGTACTTTACAATGATTATCTCATTTGATCCTCACAAGGATCCTGGGAGGTAGTTATTATTATCTCCATTCTAAAGATGAGGAAACTGAGGCAAGCAGAGATTGAGTGACTTGCCCAGGGTCACATAGCTAGTAAGTGTCTGAGACCATATGTGAACTCAGGCCTTTCTGTTTCTAGGCCCAGAGAGCTATCCACAGTTCAAATCCTACCTTAGACACTTATTGGCTGTGTGACCCTGGGCAAGTCACTTAACCTCCCTCAGCCTCAGTTTCCTTATCCATAAAACAAGGATAATAATAGCTCTTACCTCCCAGGGTTGTTGTAAGGATCAACTGATATAATCTGGGTGCAGCACTTTGCAGACCGTAAATGCTACATAAATGCTGGCTATTAGCCATTGTGTTAGATGGACTCCATTTAATAAGCCAGTTCTGAACCCTCCTAGTATCTCCCTTCACCTCTGTGTTTTACCAAGTAACTCAAACTGGCCTTCATCCTAGGAAGGAAGCAGCCAGAGCCAGATCAACTCTCTTACTGGGACAGTGGAAAAGTGTCAGAGGGAGATGGCTGGTCTTAAGAATGAGAATTCCCTTCTGAAGGAGACTTTGCAGCTGCTCAGTGCAGAGGCTGAAATGCAAAAACAAGGGGCCATCCAGCTGCAGGAGAGGGAAAGGCAGCAGCGCAGGTCTGTCTCCATGTCTTCCTTTTTCTATCTTTCTTTCAGGCAGCGTTGACAGTAGAGCTAAGAACCCTCCACAAGTTTAGAGCACCTCACTCCTCCGCCCCCTCAAGAAAAACATTTACTAGGTCACAACCACTAGTTGATCTTTTTTGTTGTTGTTCTGGCTTGAAAATTGGAGTGTTGGGAATGTAGGAACTGTGTATCACCCTACAGTTTGTGTGTCTATTACCCTGAAATAGGAAGAGTTGTGAATGGTGACTTAACTCATAAAATAAGGAGGTCGCAGATTCATGGAGCTGGAAGGAGACTCCAAGCAAGAATTATCTCTGTCTTCAGGCAGTGCTGCAATTCATCCAGCTTGGTTGGGTCAGGGTCAGTCCAATATTACAAATAACTCTTAGCATCAGGCAGTTCTTCAGCTCTGATCTTAGCCTCCATTAGTGGTGTTGAAGGCTCAACTTTTATGGTAAAAGAAATTCTTGGATCATAAAGCTGGCTGGTAACAACGAAAATAAATAAGCAAAGCTGTCTTTAATCACTTACTTTGAGATTTCTGAGGGATAGGCCTTGGTCCGTAGGATCCCAGGCAGAGTCCTTCCCAAGGCTAGTGTGGGATCATTCTGGGACTTATACCGTGAGGGGAGTTAGGGTGGTGGGACTCACCTTGCTAGGATTACAGTGTCGGGTAGTGATGAGAGGCAACAAGTAGATTGAGGAGGGATGGTGGCTCTTGCCAGTAAGTTCCTCTCTCTACTTACAGTCTGTCCTTTATGTTCATTTTAAACAGTATTTACTTGGCTATATATGGGAGGGGTTGTGGAGTGGGGAGAGATGGAGAAGGGGGGTGAGGGCTTCTATATCTCACCAAGGATTCCCCCAATCTCAGGACCCCAGATCTAATTTCCCACAATTCTCCTCTACATAAAAGCCCCCTCTGCAACAGCCTCCCAACTCCCCCTGACCAACTAAGTTGGGAATAAATTACAATTTAGAATAAAAGTGAAATCCTTAGGAGTACTAGCCCTGCCTTCTCAGTAACCTGTGAGCCCAACAGCCCGGCACAAATGATGCTTTTACATCACATTGCAAGGTTGCTGGAAGAAGACCTTCAAGTCAAGCATAAACAAGAAATGGAAACCTTGAAACAAGATCATAGGAAAGAAATCCATAGCATGGTGTCTGATTTCAGCAGCACTCAGGCTCACCTGCAAAAGAAGATCATCTCCTTGGAAACGGAGTAAGTGATTTAAATGAAGCTATCCTGCCTGTGAGTTTAATTTGTTAGCTGGGGAGTGCTGGGGCAAAGGATGTAGCTTTTTATGAGATTATGTTCCCATTCTGGGAAAGGTAAAGTGGATTTAATTTCATTTTGTTTTTTATTGGCTGGAAACCTTTGAGTTACGTCTCCTCTCCCCAACACCAGCTAACTCTCAAACATATAGAAGAAATATAAAAGATTACTTGCCCTATTAATGGGTGAGGTTAGACCTTTGCTGCTGAAGTGGACCTTGGAAACCATTTAGGCTGACAGGAAACAGATCCAGAGATTTGAAAGGACTGATCCAAGGTTACACAACCAGTTGGTACCTGAGCTGGGACTGCAACCCAAACTTTCTGACTCAAGCCCAGTTCTTTGAATGCCCAGTAAAATGAACTCTCTGGAAACCACTTAATGAAAGCTTTTTCAAGGGTACCTTGAAAGTTCACTAAATTATCACCCTCTTCATTTTCCATCCATGTGTGTGAAGAGCCCTATCAGGAGAGGTTGCCCATGGTTGAGGTGGTTGTGGGGGTACTGGTGTCTTTTAGCTCTGAAGAGGGAGACATCTGCTGAAAAAGAAAGCCAGCCCAGGCCTGCTGACCCCTGATCTGTGGTCAGCAGATGTCGCCAACTGCATCCCAAAAACAAAACATGGGTGCCTAAGTGAGCTCCAAGGTATCCTTGACACCTGTGACCCAGGGGCTACAGCTCTCGTGTTCTGACTCTTTCTCTTTCCCTTTCTCTCTTTCTGTCTCTGTCTCTCCTTCTTTCTCTCCCCCCACCTTTTTCTCTCCCTCTCTGTCTCTCTCTTTCTGTATGCCTCTGTGTCTCTGTCGCTCTTTCTGTCACTCCTGTTCGCTTTGCCTCTCCCTCTTTCTTTGTCTGTCTCTTTCTGTCTCTGTATCTCTCCCCCTTTCCTTCTCTCTCCTTCTCTCCCTCCCTAGAGATATGGAATCTTCTCTTCTTAAAATAAAAATTCCCTTCCAGAATTGTACTAAATCTTTATCCTGCATTGCTAACCTAAAGAAGAGACTCAGTCCCAGGCATTATTGATAACATTTGACTGAGTGAAGAAGAGGAGAGCCGGGCAGAGTATTTAGGCTCCTTCCAAGCTCAGCTGCTTTTTGCCGGGTCCTGCCATTATTTTGGCCCAGAAAGGCCTGGACAAAAAAAGCTACAAAATTATTTCTACTTGTTCTTCATCTTCTTTTTTGTTTAATACAGGTTCAACTAATTAGATACACGATCTAATATCTAGCATCTAATTATCTAATTAGACAACTAATTATATACTAATTACATATGTTTCTCTGATTTAAATAGCCTTAAAGATGCAGAAGAGAAACTATGGAAATGGGAATCCAGACCAGAAGATTTACACCTCATAAGCATTTTACAAAACAGATTAAGTGAGCGAGAAGAAATCATCAAACAGTTAACGGTAAGGATTTGGGGTGTTCTGTGCCAAGCTTAAGAAGTCTATGTGTAAATCAGGATGGAAACCAAAAATATCATTCGGGAATGACTTTTCCCAAGAAAATGACAGCTTCCCTATTAGCGCTTCATGGGATCATAGATTTGGAGCTGGAAGAGGTTGCCTGAGCCCACCCTTTCATTTTCTGGGTCAGGAAACTGAGGCCCAGAGAACTCTTTGAGTCTGGGCATTAATCCATTGTGAATCCATCTAATTGTTTTATCATCCAGTCCACATCTCTACGTTATGTCCACATCAATGGCATGAGAGACTTTATTATTAAACTATAGCTATGGCATGCCTTTTATCTATCAGTTTAGTAATCTGGTCAAAAAAAAGGAAATTGTATTTAGGATCTGTTTGTTCCTTTGTTTGTTTTCCCCCAGCTCATCTTCAGGGCCAAACTTACCTCTGTGATTAATTTTTAAAAAATTTTTGTTAATCATTTTAGGTATTTTTAAAAAATCACTTTCATGTCCAAATATATCAACCTCCTTCCCCAGAGAGAGAGCCATCCCTTGTAACAAAAAATAAAGGAGGAAAAAAATAGTTAAACAAAACTGAATCTAACAGTATATTCCTATACCTATAGACCCCATCATTTAGTAAAGGAAGGAAGGGGGTACCTTTTCTTATCTCTTCTTTAGGGCCAAACTTAGTGGCATGATATCAAATCAGTCAACAAACATTTTTCAAGCACTCACTGTATGCCAGGTACTGTTCTAGACACAGGGTATGTAAAGACAAATGTAACAGTTCTTGTCCTCAAGAAACTTACAATCTAGTGAGAGGAGCCAACATGTACATATGTAGTTATATCTAAAGTAGATACAAGATTATTTTTGAAAGAAAGACATAGCAAGTAGGGAGGGAGGGGATCGGGAAAGGCCTTCATGTAAAAGGTGGTGCTTGAGTTATCTTAAAGGGAACTAGGGTTTCTAAGACTTGGAGGTGGGGAAGGGAGGCATTCTTGGCATGTGGGAGAGCCAGCCCAAAGGAGAGGAGAGATCTCTTCTTAATGAAGCTGAGATGGATATTTGTGATCACTTCCCTTTTTTTTATTAATTTATTTTGATTTATCATCAATCACTTCCATATGCTTTTGAGTTTAAAAATTTTCTCCCCCTTCCTCCTCACCACCCTCCCCAAGACAGCATGCAATCTGATATAGGCTCTACATATACATTCCTATTAAACATATTTTCACATTAGTGATGTAATAAGGAAGAATTAGAACCAATAGGAAGAACCATCAGAAAGAGGAAACAAAACTCAACAGAAAAAAAAAGAGCAAATAGTATGCTTCAATCTGTATTCAAACTCCATAGTTCTTTCTTTGGATGTGGATAGCATTTTCCATCATGAGGCCTCTGGAGATGTCTTAGATCCTTGCATTGCTGGGAAGGGTTAAGTCTATCAACATTAGCCATCGGACAACATGGCTGTTATTGTGTACAACGTTCTCTTGGTTCTGTTCACTTCACTCAGCATCAGACCATACAAGTCTTTCCAGATTTTTCTGAAGTCAGCCTGTTCATCATTTCTTATAGCACAATAGTATTCCATTACATTCATCTACCACAACTTGTTCATCCATTCCCCAATTGATGGGCATCCCCTCAATTCCCAATTTTTTGCCACCACAAAAAGAGCCACTATAAATATTTTTGTACATGTGGGTCCTTTTCCCATTTTTATGATCTCTTTGGGATACTGCCCTAGAAGTGGTATTGCTGGGTCAAAGGGTATGCACATTTTTATAGCCCTTTGGGCATAGTTCCAAATTGCTCTCCAAAATGGTTGGATCATTTCACAACTCCACCAACAATGCATTAGAATCACTTCCTTTTCTAGATTTTCACTAACTATATCTTTAATGATCTTTAATCTATCTTTAATGATAGAATTATCTCAGAAATTAAAGTCAAACTCACTAGCCAGTAGTTTGTAGTTTTGTTCTCTTTTCCTGAAAATTAGGATTTTTGTCCCCCAATACTGAGGTATCTCTCCCATTTTCAAAAATAATAATATAATAGCTAGCACTCATCTGTACTTTAATGATCATCCACGGAGAATGGCTTTGCAGTCACATCTGCCAGTCCTTTCCATATCTGAGGATAAAATTTTCTGATCCAGATTACTTGGTACCCTCTGACTGTTTCTTTAACTCTCTGGTTGCCTGTTAGCCATTTTTACCATGTCATTTCCAGTGCAAAGGTCATTATACTTGGCAGAGAAAATAAGCAGAATGAGAATAAGAATTCCCTGTGATCATTTATCTCTCCATCCACTCTAAGTTGAGGTCACATCCCTTCTTACTCTGGACCAAGCCACATTTGTATTTAGTCTGCTGCCTGTCTTGCTTCTATTGGCTAAACTTTTTTTTAAAATATAAGTCAGTTGAAGAGTGCCCTTTGCATCCACATTAGTCTCTTCAGACAACTCCCATTTTTCTTCCTCATTGGAATGTTTTCCTTTTGTCTTCATGATTTCATCTTGAGCATTTCCTTTCCCTCCTGAGCTGACTCTCCCTATAGAATTTTAGTCCATAGGATACTACCTGTCCTTTCAAATTAGCTAACCCAAAATCTAGGGTACCTGTGGACTATATCTGGATTCCTGTCCTCTATCACAAACTTTAGGTGGGAAAAATCGCTTCCTCTCAGGATGTCTGTCATTTCTACCCCCAGCAACCAATTTCTACCTGTTAGTGAGAATCAGATCCAGAACAGAATTTCTCCTTGTTGGTTCCCTCCACCTATTAAAACAGAGGTGTCAAACTCTTCTGGATTCCAAGTGCAGATTAAAATGTAATTGGGAAATGTTAAACAAAATAAAAATACAATAGAATGTAAGTAATATTATTTTGTGATTTTCTAAGTCAACGTGCAATCTACAAGGATCCCTTTCTACGTGAGTTTGACACCACTCTTTCAAAGGATGCAGTCATCACTAAGGCAAGGCAAGTTATTAGCTGCACAGCTTTTGACAGGGAGTTCCAGTAGCTGTCTGGACAACTATAGTCCTTCATCATTACTAGATTATGTCTCTGTGCCAAGCTCATGATCTAGTTCCTAAACTCATCTATTTCCTCTTTCTGTCCAAGCAGTCTACAGTGTATTCTAATGACAAAAATCACTTGTTTCAGTCTTCATTGACCATCCAAATGTTCTCCATCATGCTTCCCCACTCTGGTTCCCGGGTTCCTTTACATCCATATATCTTCTTCACATCAATGCTACCGCACCTGTCCTTTTACCTATTTTATTTCTTTTAAGTAAGGCATATTCATTCAAAGCCATATTTTAGTCATGGATTTCATCCCACCAAGTAAAGCTTTATTAATACGTATAAGGTTAAATTTGCCTGTTAGCATGAGGATTCTTGTTCCTCTTTTCTAAACTTTGGGAATTTGTGTGGAGACATTTGAAAGCCAAAGGTTTTCCTACTGGCTTCTTTCTTGGATTTCACCTCCTATGAACTTATGGATGCCTCAGTTGCTCCTCTTCCTTCACTGGCAGTTACTCTCTATGCATGGGGGACAGACCTGGGCAAACATCGCTCTCTCATCCTTTTTTAGTTAAAAAAAAATCTTTCTGATTATCTTTGCAAGACACCAAGCAAGTACCTTCTTACCAGCCTTTCTTATAGAGCCTACTCTATCCCTGGCCAGTAATCTGTCAACCCAGTGTTTTAAGCCAATGTTCAGAAGTCCACATCTCATTTTCAGGTACCACCTTCAGCACCCCAGATGTTTATGTCCCAAAACAGTTTTTTCTTCATCAGTTTCCTTCATTGGAGAAAGGTGAGAGAAACAGTCTTGTGGTCTTCAGTTTCTTGCACAAAAGTCTGTAATATTTGACAATACTTTTAAGGATACTTCTGGTATCATTTCTGCCCGTGTGAATCACCAGAAGTGGTAGTAATCTGTCTTGTTAAGCCTTGGGAGGTTGTTACATCTTGAATACATGCCTGGGAAGACAATAGATCTCTTTACTGTTGTTATTAGGATGACAAGTATCTGCCCTAACACCTGTTTAAGGTAATTATCAACCACTATTACTCTCTGATTCTTCCTTTGACTTTTACTAGATCTCACATCATCATTATCAACAACATGTATATAGTGCTTACTATGTGCCAGGCACTGAGCTAGGCACTTTACAATGATCTCATTTCATTCTCACAACAACCTTTTTAGGTAGATATTTCTATTATCCCCATTTTACAGATGAGGAAACTGAAGTAAATGGGGGTTAAAAGTGACTTGCCCAGGATCACACAACCAGTAAGTGTCTGAGGCTGGATTTGAACTCAGGTCTTCCTAACTGATAGGTTCTATGATTGTATAATATCATTCTTTGGACTACAGTCAGGTGCCTCTTTTTCAGACCACACAGCTCCCTCTTCAGAAACCATCTCAAATCTGTTTTTTAATTCTTAGTGTACAATTGTCTTTTCCCTTTTTTCTTCCTCTATGTAACACTCTTCTACTTTCCAACCTCCTATCAAAGGTCAAGTATCCTCTCCTCCATCTCAGATCCCTTTTTTCTCCATTGAAACCATGCATCTGTTTCCTTTAGGAATACCTCATTATTCCCAGCAACCTGGAGAGGTAATTCTTGAGTCACTGCATCTTGTCCTCTAGCAGGGCAACCAGCAACACTTGGAACAAAGATAAGTCACTCATTTGTGGCAGAAATATAAATATTGCATCCTCAAGGCAAGTCACCAAAGAATTTTTCCCCACTTTCATACTGATTTGCTATTTTCAGCCTTTTGGGGGAATTACTTATGAATGTGTATGACTAAACCCTAGACACTTAAATTTTTTACAGCCAATTATCAACTAATAATTTGACAGCCCTACCCAATTTCCTTTCCCAAGGCTCATCAATTCCACAGCTACTCATTACCTCTCCTTCCCTCTTCCCCCTAGAACCAACCATCTTTGTTTCACCAACTTGCTCCACCCATCAGTCTATCCTATCAATTTGCTTTGTTCTCCAATTGTTCCACTGAACTTTTCTAACTTGCTTTGTCTTGCTAACTATCTTCTTGTCTTCCTTCTCGAATTTTCCTCTTCAGGTCCTTCCGCTTAATCCTCTCATTCTCCTGCTTCTTCATCCTCCTCTTCCAGGTATGGGAAGTGGAATCTACTGGACTTGGAAATTATTCTTCAGATATTTCTCAATTTGTGTTCCTTACTTATATAAATGCCTCCAAATCGCCTACACAATTTCCTTCTTTTTCTTATTCAGCTTAGGTCTTTTTCTCGTCTTCCATGGCTTGTATAGAAGCTGGAGGCAGATTTAATATTGACTTCAAGGGTAGCACTTGAGGATCATAAGATTTAGAGTAGGAACTTGAGAATATCTAGTGTATTCATTTCACAGATGAGAAAACTGAGAACCGGGGGAATCAAGTGGCTTATCCAAGCTCACACAGGGAGTAAAATGGCAAGGACAGAATTCTAATCTGAACTACTTTTCCTTAGCTAGAAATAAGCTTACCTTACCAGTGAAGACTCAAACAAATGAATAAAAAGCTAAACCCAGTCTCTGATTTCTGCTGCATCCTTCTTTTTCCCCCTGACCTACCGTTCCCTAAATGTATTGGGATAGTTTGCTACCAGGTAATCACTTTCTTTTAAATAAACCTCTGTATATTTAAGATAAATATGCAGGCATTAAGGCATTTATGTTTGTTTATTTTTTTTCAGGAGGAAAGAAGATTTCAGTGTGCCGCATTGCCAAACACTCTCTCTCATCGGAATAGATCCTTTTCTTTCAATCCGCATCCAGGCTATTTGACCCCCTCCATGAAGGTGAATGAGTTCTTTCCTTTTTAAAAACCTTTAAAATTATCCTAGATGTAGTATCTGGCTAAAATAACATTTTAGGTTCATAAAACTTAGAACTGGAAGAAGCCATAGTGATCATGGTTCATGAAACCACTCAAAAGAGATTAACCTAAACCTGTCTACATAGGAAAAGATAAGTGGATCAAGAACATGTAGCATATGACCTGCACTTGGGTAGTCAGTCTGTCTGTCTATATATCTTGAATTGGTGCTGCAGATGGTCAGGTTGGGCCCAGAATTGAATAGAAAATTAGGTGAGACTCACTTGGGAAATTGCACAGGGCTTCACTTCAGACTGCCCCTATATACAGAGGTGGTATTTTCAACATCATTATTCTCCTGGTGATGCTAAATGGTTGTGATTCATGGAACATTATAATCTTTAAAGGATTAAAAGTGTAAAGAAAAATAAAGAGGTATAGGGTGGGTGTTAGATAGAGTGCCACATGAATGTGACCAGGGAGAGCTTATCAGGAAAAGTGATATAAAAGCCATCCTCAAAGCAAGGTATTATCAGAAAGAATTGGGCAGGTCGTGCAGGGACAGTGCTAATAGGTAGGCAGCTCAAGCAGTGCATTATTTGGAAAACTTCAAAATCTGAAGTAAATCCTCTTGCGTGATGGGTAGGGGGTTTCATTACACAGGATCAGATGACATGAATGCATTGTCATATTCACTCAAGGGGGTATCATAAATCCATGTAATATTGAGTATAAACTCAGTAACCATCCACCAATATCCAAATATAAAAACTTTTAAGTGATTATACATAAAATTACAAGTATTTTAGCTTTTTAAAAACGTGCATTTTAACAAAACAGCAAAACATTTCCATCTCTGACACATACTGGCTATGAAGGGACAAGTCACTTAACCAAGTGTTCCAGGCACTTCTCTAAAGAGTGTAAGTTGCAGAGCAGTTGAAGATTTGCATTGATGATTAAGGTGTATGGTGCCGTCTTGATTTTGCTCTTTCACTCCACATCTCTTGATAGGGCTTCCCTTATTTAATTGTGTCCTGTACATTCTTCCTTTTGTATGGCACAGTAACATTTCATTACGTTCACATACTAGAGTGGTTGGACTTACGGGTTATTCCAGGAAACCACTTCTTCTCGACAAGAGCAAATTACTTTGCCAGAGGAACTCTATCATCTTTAATACCTTAATTGATTCTGAGTAATTCAAAACACATCAATGGAATAAATACGCAACCCGTCCTTTAGGGACCTGAAATAAAGTATCAGTACATTGACATGTTGAGCAGTTTGACTTTGGCATTCTGAAATACCACAGTGGTACTTTTTCTCTGCTGCTTATGTCTACAGTAGCCTCCAAGTGTGAGATACCTTATGAACCCTTCCTTTAAATTAACAGAAAAAGAAAATGGAGGAAGTTCCCAGCCGGGTTGTCAGTGTGCCAAACTTAGCCTCCTATGCAAAGAATTTACTGAGTGGTGATTTGAGTTCCAAGAGAAATGCTGCACCAATAACCAAATCACCAAGCTTAGACCCAAGTTCCAGCTGTGTTAGGTCTGGTCATCAGCCAGTCAAATCTCCTGATGCTAAAACTGCCACAAGGTAAGCAGATAAAATATCTGGTTCAATTTTTCCATGGAGCTACTTGGAAAAATAGGACAAGACTGAATAGTACATAGTAACAGTTGATTTAGAGAGTTCAGTAGGTGGAACAACCTGCAAAGACTTGAACTGTACTTGTCCATCCTTTTTTGGGGGGGAGTGGGAAAGGGAGAAGTGGTCTTGATCTGTGATTTCATTGATGTGGACATGTAACATGGAAACGCCCCCCACCAAAATAGACTGGCAAGCCATCTCTGAATTACAGTCTTAGAGAGTTGTCTGGGGTACATGGAGGTTAAATGACCATGGTCACGTAGTATGTGTCAGAGGAAGAACTGACTGCCCTAGGTCACCTCTCTATTCACTATGTCATGTTTACTTACATATAATATTGATCTATGTGATGGGAGGAGTAGTAATGTCCCAGGGACTAATCATATTTTAAAATTTGATTAAAGTGTTATTTGACATTGGCAGATTAAGGACTCTTTGGTTTGAACATCTACCTAGTGTTCACTTTGGCAGCATATCTACAGTGTGCATGCCTACTAAGTAGAAAGCACCTCCATTTTGCCCAAAATACACATACATTTTCTGACTTTAAAAACTTTTTGTGTTCCAGAGCCAGAAATATTGTGAATATTAAATTACTAGTTACTACATAATAATATGTTTCTGTTCTTAGGACTGAAGACAATGAAAAAACCCAAGCCAAAGAAGTCCAAAAACAAGGTTCTCAGCATCAGGAATGGTTTACAAAATACTTTTCATTTTAGACTGACCTTTTGAACATAACCTAAACGATAACATTTGAGAAAAATATTTTTTTTTTCTTCAAAAATGTCTGATTTAGGGAATGGATTGAAACATAAAAGGTTACTTTTGCTATGTAATTACACCTCATAGCTTAAAAGAATTTTAGGATTAATATTCTATAATGAGTTCACTAAGGAAGTTCCTTAGATCAAGGTAAGATGATTTTCCTTCCTACTTGAATACTCTAACAAATTATTTACTCAGTGTTAACAAGAAAGCACTCATAGGAAAATTTTCCATATGAGTTTTATGTCACATTTTTGGTGTTCACCAACCTTTACAGAATGCTAGTCCTTCCTTGTGAATTGTGTAGTTGACTTTATATGTGGTTTTGTTGGTCTAGAAGCAAATATTTGACTTTTAGAAGTGACTTGACTAGAAATGTTTTTTTCTGTAAGATAATGTATTTACTGTGGAGCATATGTTATCAGTAGCAAAAGGAATAAAAGGAATTTTCATTGACAGGAAGCTAATTGATAGGCGTCTCCGAGGCTTTAAACCCATTTATCTCACTGTGGCCTCGCTGCATGGAACTTCTGTAGATTTAAAGGGGAGCTCTGCGCTTTAAAGTGTAAATGGATTTGGGTGAATGCAGTCCCATTTGAACGAGTGGGCTGTTTCATAGCATTAGACATACTAGTTTTTACAAACTCTAAGTATGTTCATTAAATTCACTTTGCACCTGGCAGAACTATGGGATTTGACAGGACCCAATACAACTCTTATGATTCAAAATAACCTCAGCCCTTTGGTGCTGGCCTAAATGGTGCTCCATGAAATTCTTATTCCAGTAGATGTTGTTTACTCTATGTACTGTGTTACTTGCTGAGATAAAAAAATCTTCCTGTACTGCCAATTTTTAAGTCTTTGCTTTGAATAAAGCCAACAACTGGTAAGTCAAAATGGTTCTATTATGTGTCCTTCAGCAGAAAGCTGATGTCACAATTCAAGGCATGTGAAAGTGACACATGATTAGATTTTCACTTTAGCAGAAAATGGTTTTATATACTTAAGCCTAAAAGAAAATAATGTGCTCTGTGCTTCTACAGACTCATTTACCATTAAAATTTTGACATACAGATCCATGGTAAGCTAAAACACAAAGCTCCAGGGAGGATTTTTAAAAATACAGCTACTGGTCACCACATAGAATTCTGACATGTTATTTACAGAAGAAGGTTTTTCTTTTATTTTCTTCCTTTCTTCATTATGCATAATGGGCACTGGTAAGACAGTCTGCTTTATTTCTTATGTTAGAGACATGACACCCATGCTTTTCTTTTGCCCCACAGAAAAGGTAAACCTACCCTTCCTTTTGGCTACAGCCCCCGAAGCCCTACCAGTAAAAGGGAGTGATTCATTGCCCAGTATCCTAAATTTTAACATATCCCATTACTCAAGGAGAGTCTGTTTATTGACCTACTACCAATCACTGTGTTTATACTCTCTAGTCACAATAACCCTGGGATTTTATGATCTTTTTATTGGTTTTTAGTAAAAAAAACAAAAAACAAAAAAAAACCCAACAAACCATTTTTACACAGGATCTTGTTTTCAAAAAGCCCCAGAGTATTTACAATCATCAAGTTTCTCTGAGACAGGCATGGAAACACTTAATACACCACTCTGAATTTAGCACATCTACCTTCTGCCACAGTGAGGCCTCTTAGTAGTAGTACAATCAGTTCAAGGATCTAGATCTGCTTCCCAGACTAGTTTTCTTCCCCTCAGACTACACTCAAATATTTATTATCGAATATACGTAAATCTACGCAAAGAGAGTAAGTTGGCTATGCAAACTTAAGGCCAAAATTGTGCTGTAATAAATTTGGGAATGGGCAGCTAGGTGGCGCAGTAGATCGAGCTCCGGCCTCAGAGTCAGGAGGACCTGAGTTCAAATTCGACCTCAGATACTTGACACTTACCTAGCTATGTGACCCTGGGCAAGTCACTTAACCCTGATTGCCTCATCAAAAAAAAAAAAGAAAAAAAAAGGCAATAAATTTGGGAAGCCAGTATACGCCTCACATCTAACTAAAACACAGAAGGCTCTGGATTTTCTCAAATAAAAATGCTTTAGTTGGAATATTTTAGAAATTTCTTTAGAAAACAAATTCCAAATGGTCAATTTAATTATCCATAAACGTTAATGGCAGTAACCTTTGCCCAAGTAACTCACTTTCCCTAAGACAAAACCAAAAGGCATCTAAGTGATAACAAAGCAACTAATTTTAGTTTACCAAAACAATATGCATTTCAGACAATTTACAGAAATACACTTTAAGAAACTCTACATAGAAAAAGAAAAGAATATTTGGCAAAGTTGAATTTTTTTAAACAAAATACTCTGTACATCAATATTTCGCAGATTCCATTAAAATTACAAATAAGTAAATCTTAGTTTAATCCTTTTGTAAGTGGAGACAACAAAGAGTCATGTTTGCTTCATGGGGGCAGGAATGTTAGCTGATGCCTGTTCAAGGTATGCCAATGGTCCTTGAGGTATGTCTGCAGGCTTTTTATGTTGAATGTTGATCTCTTCTAGGACCTGCTGCCAGTGCCTGAGCTTTGCCAAATGCTTCTGGACCAGCGCTTCTTTTCTTTGTAATTCATTTCTTAATTCTGAGACATCCTACAAAAAAATCCAAAGAAAACAAAGTTCTTGACTAGATAATTTAAGAGCTCGTATAAGAAAAACTAAAATGAAAGAAATTAATGGTTCTGTAACTGAATCTGGGTTTTTACATTCCAAAATTTGAATCAGCTATTTGAAAAATCTGATGGAATTATTCACAAACTAGGGAATTATCTATGAAATTTTGGGTTGAAAAGGACCTTACAGCTTGAGTCCAATCTACAAGTGAACTGTGTAATTCCCTGTACAAGATGTAATGGAAGATCTTCAGCAATAAGCAGAGACAGAGATTTCCTCCAGAGGAAATCCATTCCAGTTCTGAGCAGCTCTAATCGTCATTAAAAAGTTTTTCCATATAACAAGCCAAAAATTTCCCTCTGTAATGCTATACAGTGCTCCTAGTTCTAAGCCCTTCCTCTTCTAACTGAAAGCTCTTCTGATATTTGTCATCATTCACATTCCTCTTAAGTCTTCTTTTCTTCAAGGCAGCCACCCCTGCCTGGTTCCTTCAATAGCTTCTCATAAGGCAGTTCCCAGACCCTATCAACATCCCAACTTTGGGTCAGATCCCAAAGGTCACCATCCTTTCTAAAAGGATTGAATTTTGCACGGGATAGTTTTCTCTTTGTGGTCTGACAAGGCTATCACTTCCTTCATTAAGGACACCGCCTTTGTAAGTGCCAATTTAAGACTGCTTTGGCTTCCCAGTTAACACTATTGACTCCTATCAAAGTCTACATTAATTTATGTCTAGATTTAGAGCTCAAAGAGGGCCTTTAGAGATCCTCTGGTTTATAATGGAAGCAGTGGTGGCTTGGATGATGATCCATCAAGATGACCTGGATTTAAATCCCTGCTGCTATTTACTGTCTGCGGAACCTACAGCAAATCTCCCCACCTCTTCAGACTTCAGTTTCTCACTTATAAAATAAGGGGGTTGCATGAGATGACCTTTACCAGTGACAAGAAAATCAGGTTCAGAAAGGAACAATGCCCTGCCCAAGCCTGCTGACATGAAAAGGAGAAAGCCAGCATCTGGCTATGCCTTGCATACTGAACTTTAGTATAGGACTTTACTTTGAATAAATACCCTTTGAATTTCATCTAATTAAGGTCATCCCATCATTCTGGCCTGGTGAACTTTTGGGATCCTTATTCAACTTGTGAGCTCTTCCTTCTAGTTTCACTGGTACACTTGAAAAGCATGCAATCCATGTCATTACTTTTTTTTTTTTAATAGAATATTTTTTTTAAGGCAATTGGGGTTAAGTGACTTGCCCAGGGTTACACAGCTAGTAAGTGTCAAGTGTTTGGTCTGAGGCCGGATTTGAACTCAGGTCCTCCTGACTTCAGCGCCGGTGCTCTATCCACTGCGCCACCTAGCTGCCCCCTAATCCATGTCATTACCAACAATGCTGAAGAGGATAAGGTCAAGAATAAATCCCTAGGGCACTCTATTGAGAGACCTTCAAGTTGGCATTAATGCACTCTTTGGGTTCAACATTCAACCAATTCTTCACCTCTCTAGTTATTCTATTATTCAAGCCACTGCTGGATGCCATGCTAAAAACCAGGTATACAATGTTTATACATTCTCTTGACATACCTAATAATACCATCGTGAAAAAAAGTAATGGGATTTTTCTGGCATGAAATAGTCTGGATGAAGCTATGTTGGCTCTTAGGGATCACTAGCTGTTCCCTGTCTAAATACCCACAGAACATATAACTAACCTTCAACCAAATTTTTCTAGATCCTCTATGGCCAGTATCTTAAAAATCAACACTTAATATTTGACTAGTCCTTTATGTAAAAGCTTATGTTAAAGCTTATTTTCAAGGTTTTGAATAAAATACCACCATTATCTTACATTTAACCTTAAAAAACTTATTTTAATCTGTTATTAACTCTATGAAATTAAAACACCACCTAGATTAGAAATGACAGAACATATTACACTAACCATTTTGCTTATATTTTCTTTAAGAACTAAGACCCAGAGGATCACAGATCAGCTTTGTAAGTAATATTCCCCACCTATGCATTTTTCACCTGCTTGTCTATCTACCTCATTTCTCTAATAAAAGAACAAAGATAACATGATAAATTCAATCAGCCTTTATTATTTAGCCAGCATAAGTATTTCCAAGATGTCCATGGATATAGGCAATTTTAAACCAACAATCTTCAGTTTCAAAGAGATCAGGCCTTAATTACAACTTAACTAAATCAACAAAACTTAACTTAGTCAACAAATATGTGACAAGAGTCAAATTTCAATTCTGTAATAAAATGCTTAGTTTGCCATAGTTGGATGGCTTGAAATGTAAAATAATTCTGAAAATGTCACTTTTAGGTTGAACCTTGAAAAACAACAAGTATAGGTTGCATTTTAAAGGGGCCAGGGTTTTTGAAGAGGTGGAAGTAAGGTGGGATAAGTATCTTCTATATTTGGATATAGATGGGTATTTATTTACTCTTGCTAAAATCTGAGCAGGTAAGACATAAAGAAAACTTTGATTTGTTACCTCTTTAATAACTTGCTCTGGTTTCTGGACAGACAGCTGTAATCTTTTCTGAAGGAAAAAGCACTCTGTTTGTCTTGCAACATCTAGAAACTTTTGAATACACTGATCAACACCTGGAATTCAGAAATAATATAAAGCTGCGAGGTAAAAGAAATACAGTGATGACCGCCCAAATTTATTCACAAGAGTCTAGTGGAAGGAGCATTGAACAAGGAAGTCAGGCTTACTGGATTGTTAATGTTAATGTCAATGTCCACTCCAACTCTTGCTTCCAAGCTCATATAGCTTTTCAGCCCCCGTGACCTGCACTTTACTTCCATCTCAGCCCCATAGGATCACAGCCTTGATCTCATTGCCCAGAAGTGTCCCCCCTTAATAATTCATGCACCTGATGCTCACTCCCTTTCCTTCCAGTTCTCCCTGTGCCTCAGCCCTTCTCTTCCCTCACTATGATGTCAGCTCAATCCACACCTCCATCCTTTCTCAACCCTTTCTTAAGTCTAACTTTCTTCCTTTCAAAGTCTCAATATTTTAAGTAATGAATTCAATCTTACACTATCCTCAGCCCTTGAGTTCCTAGACTCCTTGTCATTTCTTTTCAGACCCCAATCCGATATTAAGCTAACCATGTGCCTTGTGCTGTCAAATGCTGATGGAGAATCAATCAATTCATTGGATCCACTCCAAATCTTGGCGATGCAATCTTAACTCAGCCCTCAGTTGTGCTACAAACCAATCCTTTTATTCTTCCCTGACTAGGTGCTGTTCCATAAAGAAACTTATTAAGCACTTACAATGTACCTGGCACCAACACCTTCCCTATCCCCAACACCTACTTTTTCAGTAGCAGAACTTTTCATACCTCACTGAAGAATCAGAAGGCATCCAAGCTTCCTTCCCTCTCTAATTCTACACTTCAGAACAACTCAGCATCATACTGTGTTATCTCCCTCTTTGTACCACTTTCAGGATGAAGTTGCCCTTCTTGCCAAAAACCAACCCCTTGACTGTGTTCCCTTTCCGGATATTTATCTCCTCCTTGGATGACTGTGACATTGGTCAATTATTCTCTTACTGTCAAACTTATTCATGGTTTCCGTTTTAAATTCATTATGCATGTCCTGTCCCCATACATGGATGTCCCATGGTTCTGCCCTAAGTACTCTTTCTCTTTTTGCACTTTGCTGTTGATTTCATCAGCTACCATGGATTTCACTATCATCACCATTCAGACAGCTTTCCAAACCACATCCAGCTCTCATTTGTTTCCAAATCTCCAGCCTTGCACCTGCTTGATCAACATCTCTAACTGGATGTTCTATAGGTGTCTCAACCTCACCATGTCCAAAAAGGGATTCCTCATCTTTCTCCATAAACTTGCCTCTCCTCCTAACATCTTATTTCTAACCACCATTCCTCTAGTGGCCCAGATTCATCATCCTTAGCTCTTCGCTCTTGCTTACCTCCCATATCCAATCAGATGCTCTCTTGTTTAGGCTACTCCCTCACAATTTATTGCATCCATCTCTTCTCTACTCATACCACAATCACTCTCATCCAGACTTGAAATTACTCATCATTTGGCCTAAGCTTCCTAATTGATCTCCTGACTTCAGTCTCTCTCCTCTCTCCTCCATTCAGTTGCAAAATTGGTATTCCTTTTTTTTTTTTTGGCAAGGCCATGGGGTTAAGTGACTTGTCCAGGGCCACACAACAAAACTGATATTCTGAAAGTATGGGTCTAAGTACTTCCCTAGCTCTAGAAGCTTGGAATGAAATGATTTGGTTGAGAATGACATAGGCAGTTAGGGTAAGGGCTATGAGAAAAACAACATGAAGTAATAGAAAGAATGCTGAACTTGACATTAGGAAAGATTTGGGCTTGACTTCTAATTCCATGGAAAATCACTTCTACAAAATGGGATTAATATTACTTAAAACAGGATTGTAGTGAGTAAAGTGCTATATAAATACGAGTTATTTAAGAAAATGCCCCAAAGCTCTTTCTACTAAATCATATCCCCTTCTCATCATGGATTTTTATGGTCTTTACCACCAACAGGTCATTCTGGCCCCCTGGCCTTATTCCTACTACACAAACACTTGCCTTGTGTTCTTCACTGCAACCAAAGTAGTCTCTTTGCTATCTGCCAAATACACCAGATCTTTGTGACATCCCTACCCCTAAACTCTGGCAAATCAAATTTCTTCCCCCTTTAGAACACAAAAAACTCACTTTGTTCACATCTCTAAGAATTAATTTCATCAGGTTCTGGTTATTCCATTCATTACTGTAATTTCCACTGACCACCTTTCCCAACATAGGTATACCCTCTTGTAATGTTGTCAAAATAATGTTTCTCAATGAAGTCATTTTATTATAACCAAGCACCACTGTAACACCATCAACATTGTTCCTACAGAACTGGTCCTATAAAGCTATCACACATAATGATGTTAGGTGAGGCGCACCTGTATTTTACCTGCAGATGTAACATGTTTGTACATGTGCTTACATTTCTGTCACTTGTACTTAGAGATGAACAAAAAGAGGCAGAGAAAGGCCATGTGATAGTCCATTTGTAGAAACTAGCCTATATTATAGAAGCACAGAATTTTAGAGAAGGAATTTCAGAAATCAATCTATTTAACACTACTTAAAGATGAGAACAGTGAGGCTCTCAGAGGCAAAATGACTTGTCCAGGTTCAAAGACTGAACAGTAGAGCCAGAACTATCACTCAGATCCTCTGACTCCTGGAATGATCTGCCCTCCAACTTAATCTACATGATACATGCTACTTCTTTCGAAGAGAAGTTTAAAAGAGTAACATGAAATGAATTTGACCTATTGGATAAAAAGCCATAGAGTAAATAACTAATGATAGAATTATTCTTAGGGCATTATTTTAGAACACCTTTTTTTAAATGAAAATATTTTGAACTGACTTGGAAAATATTTTTAAAACCCTGCTTTTAAAACAAAATTTCCAGTTACACTTGAACATGACAAAATGCCAAATATCAAGTGATAAGAGGCAGAATGGTACAGTGGAAAAAGTGCTGTATTTGGAGTCAGAGAATCTGGGTCTGAATTCCAGCCTCTGCCACTAATTACCTGTGTGAACTGGAGCAAGTCAATTATATTCTCTGATCCTCAGTTTCCTCATCTGCCAAATAAGCAGGTAAGACTAGATAACCTCTTGTGTCCCTTCCAGCTGTAAAGATATGATCTAAACCGAACTGCTATTTTGTTATCTACACAAATCTTACTCCCAACAGAATAACTTGTTCAAGAAGAAGGGACAACCAATGATTTAAATAAATGGATCAAGAATGATGTAGGTATAACTGATGAAAGACAGCAATTTTTAAAATTTTAAAGTTAAATTTTAAAATGAAGTTCTTACCAGTTCTGATTTCCTCCTGATCAGTGCCATTGACATAATCCTGACTCACCAGGGAAGCAAAACAAGCCTACAAAATTCAAAGGCAAACAAAAAAAGTTTAATTTATAAAAATATTAATTTATTAATTTATAATTTAATGTATAATTTAATTTATAAAATTGATGTAAAATATAAAATTTATAAAAATAAAAATATCCTCACTGTTTACTTTAAAAACAATAACAAAGTTACTTCCTAAGTTCCTTGAGGATCTTTAATTTCTAAAGGCATCCAGCAAAGCTCCAAGCCAATGAAAATACTTATTAAATAATCTGATTCTGTAAATAACATCAGGACAAATTCACAGGTGTTATTAATGCTTTCTGGTAAAACTATAGGAAGCTCTGGATAATATTAAAATGAGTTTCAGCCTGAATTCCTAAAGCATAAGCAACACAAACAAGATCAACCTTACAAACTGCCCAAAACAGTTTTGCAAAAGCCCACCACTTTGATACCTAAATTAGCAGTCCCACCTTAATACCTGAAAACTCTATTATAATAATTAAGAAGCAACACAATGTGTTAGGTGCTGTGCCAAGAACAAAAGACAGACACATTTCCTGTCACTTTAAATCCAAAAAGCCAAAGATGATTCTCAGATCTATTTATCAAGCCAGAATCTCGTCTCCAGTCACCAACTGCCTATTCAACATTTCAAACTGGATGTCCTATAAACAATTTAAACTCAACACATCCAAAACAGAACTTACTATCTTTCCCCCAACTCTCTCCTCTTCTACACTGCACTTTTACTGTGAAGGGCACCACTATCTTCTCAGTCAGCCAAATTCAAAGCTCAAGTGTTATCCTGGAATCCTCACTCTCAACCCCATATCCAATCTGTCGCCAGGCACAGTCATATCTATCTTTATATCATATCTCATCGGCGTTCCCTTTTCTCCTCTGAAAGCCTTCATTTTGGTACAGGCTTTCATAACCTGGATTACTGCAATCAAGTCTTTGCCCCAACCCCCACTCTAATCCAATTTCCACTCAGCTGCCAAAGTGATCTTCCAAAGTGCAGGTCTTATCATATCACCTCTATATTGGATAAACTCTAGTCATTCCTTATTACCTCTATGATCCTCACTTTGGTTTTTAAAGTGTTTCACAAGCTCACCCCTTCCTACCTTTTCAGTTTTTTAGTTTTATTCCTCTACATACTCTAAACCCCACCTACACTATCCCTGCATCATCTTGACATTCCATTTTCCCGGGCCTTTTTCCTGGCTATCCTCCATGCTAGGAATGTTCTCCTTCCTCACTGCCTCTTTCTGGGTTCCTTGTTCAAAACTGAGCTCAAATTCCTCCTTCTGGCTAAAGGCCCCTCGCTTGCTGGTGCCTTCCCTCTGACATTGCCTCCAATTTACCCTATACATATCTTGAATGTACATTGTTGTTTGTATGTTGTCTCCTTCATTAGATTATGAGCTCCCTGAGGGCAGGAGATTTTGTCTTTTTTGAATCCCCAGTGCTTAGCTGAGTGTCTGGCACATGGCAAACATTTAATAAAATAAATGCTTGTTGACTGACTAAAATTAAGCACGATAAGGCCTGCCTTTTTCTTAGATGCCCCCTTCCTCCAGGGCCTTAATTTTATAGTGCTTGATGCCTGGACAATACAGGTGAAGCAGACCAAAAGTACAGTATCTCACTGGTGGATAGCCCCTGCGTTTGGCCATCCAGGAGGGTCTACACAAAATACAGAATCCCACTGGTTGACAGATGGGCCAGTGAGCAGACCTTAACAGACCTATCCTGACCTTTCAGGAGGTCCTGCCAAGCTGGTCTACGTGGTCCAAAGGGCCGGGAGAAGGACAGACAAAAGTCCAGCAACCAAGGTCACTCACTGGTCAAGTGTTCACTGTCATCTCCCCATGCTGGGCAATAAAGAGATGGTGGGGCAACAAAAAGAGATGGTGGGGCAACAAAAATAGCTAGGGGAACTTCCATGTAATTGAGTCACCTCTGTCACACTGGGCTTGGTCACCATAACAAGGAAAAATAAGGGTGAAGTTTCTCTGGTTAGCTTCCTATGATTAAGCAAGTGAACTTAGAATCCTTAGTTAACATCTCTGAGACAGACTACCAGAACGTAAAATCACTACCTCTATGGAATATATCAAACTGACTAATACTGATTGGAATAAAATAGGTGTCCAATAAATCATCTATCACATTCTTGAGGTTTCAATTAATTAAGCCCAGGTTACCTCCTTCCAGAAGCTAATAATCTAGTTTGGGATAAATCACATACACATGAAAGGTAATTCAGTCAAAGACAGTTTATAGTTAAGTACCAAAATTAGTGAGGTGCACACTAAGTGTCCTATATTAGTTCAGAGATGAGAGAGTCCAGTAATTGCAAAACAGGAGTTTGTCTTTGATGCCCCTGAAATAGAGCTCCTGTTCAGCATTTCCAATAATCTGGGGGACATTTCAATTCAACAAGCAATTATTAAGCACCTGTCCTGTGCCAGACATTGCTCTGGGGTCTCTGAACAGAAAAGACAAAAATAAAACAGTGCCTGATACATAGTCTGATTTAAGTAAATTGGGGAAAAAAAGCATTAATAACATAAAATTTAACGTATTATGGAAGGCTGTTAGGGTGAATGGATTTGAAGGGACAACATTAAGTACATAAAAGTGATTAAAGACTCTCATATTTCCCATTTATCCTGTACATAGCTTAATTTGTATACATTTATTTGTATTGTCTCCCTCATTAGAATACAAGCTCCTTGAGAGCAAGGGCTGTCTTTTACTTCCTTTTTTTTGTATCCCTCATTAGGACAATGCCTAGCACATAGTAGGTGCTTAATAAATACTTTTTGAACTGAGACATATCAACATTGACTGGAGCTGTGGGGGGAAGGTGAGAGAGAGTTCTGTCTCAAGACCTTGAATACAAGGGCAGAAAGAGGCGGTGAACTTTTCAGAAGAAAGGCTGTAGTATAGGTTTGGAATCCAGAGACCCAAATCCTAATTTTATCACTAACTAGTTGTGTAATTTCAGGAAACTCAACTCCCCTCCATTTACTTGTTTTTACAAAAAAAAAAAAAAAAGAAGCCGGATGCCATCATCCATTTATTAAACCAGGTGATTTTAACCTGGGATTCTGAATTTTTAAAAAATATTTCGACAGCTACATTTCAATCACGGGGGTAGTCAGTGAAAATACCCGGAGGCGGGAGATGGAGCGTCTTGTCCGTGGGCAGTGGAGGACACTGGTAAGGAAAAGGGGCAGGTTACGAGGAGCTTTGGGCCAGACGACTGAGCCCGAGGATTGCGTGTCTGATCCTGTAGGGGAAAGGAAGCCAATGGAGTTTGTTGCCGGGAGGTGTCAGACCAGGTGCAGACCAGGAGAGCAGAGGACACGAGTCTTGGGGGTGAAGCGAGCTGAGGGGCGGGGGGCGTGAACGGGAAGAGACAAACGATGCTGGACCGGAATGGGGGGGGGGCCGCGGGGGGGTGCGTTACCTCGAAAGACGCTTCCAACTCGTCCACTAAAGTACTATTAGAGCTCCTCGGACCGCCAGCCGCCGTCGGAAGCAACGCAACTTGTCCCGAGCTCCCGGGGGGTCCTGGGGGCGCAGGCGGCGGAGGGGGCCCCGGTTGCTGAGCCGCGAACATCCCTCCTAAGGAAGCTGCCATCTTGGGACAGCTTCTCCACCGGGCATGCGCAGGGGGGAAATCGGCTTCAGGGAGCATGACCGGAAATCGAAACGAGAACCGAGCATGCGCCACCTGGACTCGGGTTGTATGCTGATTGGCTTGGAAGCGAAGGGAGAGCCACGTGAGGAAGGAACCATGGGCGGGAGGTGTGGCTTGGAGGAGAGGCCACAGCCTCCGATGAAGCCTGAGGTTCGGTCTCTTGTTTCCGATAGAGAGACAGGAGTTCCCCGGCGCACTGGAGGAGGACGGTGTAGACTTCCCTAGAGCCTGGCAGCGGGTCCCTCGAATTGGTTCAGACCGTCTTACGTTCAGCTTTTTCCTTAAGCACATTTTTGTCCCTGGGACTCCTCTATTCAGCCGTCTCCAGAGGCTTCCTCCTGGGACTAAGATGAAAAATAAGCTCCTTTAATTTTTTTAAAAATAAGTTTTTATTGAATTTTCTGTTTCTTACATCACCATAGTTATCCCAAGTATTCTGCCCCCCTCTTCCCCTCCAAGAAAGCCTTCTCATATGACATCGTATGTTTTTTAGAGAGGAAAAAAAAATCAGCACAACTGATGATACACTGCAAAAGTACAAAAACATATGCAATGTGATGTGTATGGTGTTGGTGGGGGTGGGGGGACGTCAGGAAGATGGTGCCATGACTTACTTGCAAGTAAATTGGCCAACACTTTCACGAAGGTGTGGGTTAGGGGTGTCTTCTCACATCTTATTCAAGTACTTCTGGATCTTTATAATTTTGTTACATTTATTTTTCACTTATTTATTCATTTAATTAATTTTTCATTTGTTCTGTTTAGCTTTTAAAGACCTACTCGGCTTCACTGGATCCAGGCACCTCACATTACTTACTATATACAAGCCCTTTACCTAAAGACATAGGGTAGACTTGAGAAAGAAGATTAGTGGAAAGAGCGCACACTTTATATTCGAGTCAAACAGGGCTAATGGTTGACATTTTGCCTCTCACCTACTTTTTCTTCATCTCCTGCTCTCTCTTTCCTTCAAGGTTCAGTTCAGGTATCACCTCCTGTGAAGTCTTTCCTCCATCTGTTAATGCTCTCTCTTCAAATTAGCTTGCATGTTAATTTGGGTACATGTTATTATGCTTTCTCAGTGGAATATAAGCTCCTTGAGGGCAGTCACTGCTTTGTTTCTGTTCTTCCATCTATAGCACTTTGCTTCAGTGCCTTACAGGGAATATACTTAAATGCTTATTGAATTTTTTGCTACATTGATATTAACCAACTCTTATACAATTATTTGCAGTGCTAACTCCCACCCCTTATTAAGTATTTTCTGGATCATAGATCATTAAAGCCAGAAGGTCCAGAGCTGAGACACAGAGAAAGGAAGTGATTTTTCTCATCTTAGAGTTAGTGTCAGAGCTGGAACTCCAGCTTCCAGAGGATGGTAATCAAAGTCTCTCAAGAATATTTTTACGGATACCTTTTCCTCAGCATGATTTAAATTCAGTTCTTTGAGGAAATATCTCTTCAGTCTCTTTCTCTAGGACAGTAAGCTAACAACCTCTCAAGACAGTTCTTAGTCCTTTATCTCTGCACCTCTAAGAGTATCCAGCTATGAAAATTAACATACTCTCTGGAACAATAGTTAAATTGCCATTCTCTGGGAGAGTTTATTCTGTCTTAAAGATAAGTAACAGTATCTACTATCTTTGTAGAAGTGGCTATTGAATGAATAAAAAGAGCATTTACTAAGCACTTATTAGGTGCTAAGCACCTACTATGTGCCAAGCACCATGCTAAGTGCTGGAGATCCAAACAGAAAAAACTAGACAGTCCTGTTGCTGAGGAAGTGCACTTTTAAGTGAGGGAGTCAGCATATGAGTTCAGATGCAGAAGAAGGCCTGAAAGTTTAAGGGTTCAGAAGTGTGGATGGCAAGGCCTCATAAACCTTATAATTAAAGCTGGAGTTATACAAGGAAAGCATTGTGTAAACTCTAAAGTACGTTGTGTGATTATTGAGAAGAAATGGAAGGAAGTATAATACATTCATTGTGGAGTCAGAGGGGCTGACTTCAAATTCTGACTACTACTTACTACCTCGTGACACTGGGTAAGGTACTAAATTGCATGGGCTTTACTTAGTTCCTCATCTCTTAAATGAAGGAGTTGGATTAGATTAGGAATCCTTAATCTATTTTTGTATCATGGATGCTGGCTGGTGAAGATTGTAGACCCCTTATTCAGAATTTTTTAAAAATAATTGAAGGAAATGCTAAATTTTAGTTAGAAGTTAGTAAAAATAAGGATGTAATTCATTTCCCATCCAAGTTCCTGGGCATCCTAAAATCTATCCATGGACTCTTTAGGAGTCCACAGGTGAAGAATCCCTATCACCCCTCCAGGATTTCTAGTAAAAAGACTCCTTCCCCTACAACATCCTGTTCTTCACGGTGCTGTTCCCGTACCTGAAATTTTCTCTCTCCTCATGTCTTCCCTTAAGACCTAGCTAAACTTCCACCTACAAGAAGTCTTTTCTTGATATCCCCCTTAAAGGTAAGGCTTTCTCTCTGTTAATGATCTCCAGTTTATCCTATACATCTCGTTTGTTCCTAGTTTACATGTTGTTTCCCCCTTTAGACTGGGAGCTCCATGAGAGCAGGGACTGTCTTTGGTCTCTATTTCCAGTTTAGCAGTGTCTAGCACTTCTGTAAGCACTTAATAAATGCTTGTTGAAGAATGACTTTGTGCTGACTGTATCAAGCCTAAGAATGCTGAGACCTTTTTAATGTCATGAATGGCTACAGAAAAGCCCCACAAAGGAAAAATCAGAATGTTTACTGCTCAGATTCTGCATGCCTTTATCTACACAGTTCATAGAGTTAATTTAACAACATATAGAATCCTAGATTGAAAGTGATAAGGATTTTAGAACTCTCATTCACCCTTCTTGTTTTACAGATGAGGCCACTGGAGGACCACAGAGGTCACTCAATTTGCTCACAGGTATCAGGTGGCAGTCAGGCTCTGGACCAGGTGTTCCAGCTCCAGAGATGGGTACTCTTACTACTGCCTCTCATAAATTTCTGAGGCAGTAGAGACAAAATAGTGAGCTAGGCTCAGAACTGAGGGAGAGGGAAGCAATGAACTGCACCATCTAAGCTATTTCAAACAACTCCATGTCTATACTTGGCCAAAGAATTAAATTTTTATGGTTGATTTTCTTTGGGACTATCTTAATAGCCAGCAACTAATGCACAAATTTATCAGAATCATGCTGAAGCCCAAAGTGATCATTAAATTAGCAAAAATACCATGAGCTAATCTAATTATTTTGGTCATATAAGGCCAAAAGTGACAGCCCAAGCAATTGAAAATCATTAGAGGCTTGTGTACTGGGGGGGGGGGGGGGGGCCCTGAGCCAAGATGATAAGAGTAAAAACAGTGACTTGCATGAGGTCTCCCCCAAACCCCTCCAAATACCTGTTAAAAAATGGCTCTACACAAATTCTAGAGCAGCAGAAACCACAAAAAGACAGAGTGAAACAAATTTCCAGCTCAAGACAATCTGGATGGTTGATTGGAAAGATCTATTGTGCCATGCTGGGAGAGGAGCACAGTTCTGCATGGGCATGGGAGAGGAGCACAGTTCTGCATGGGCCACACAGGCAAAGACCGGGCCTCAGCGGAGCAGGCCTTGGGACTGAATCAAGAGGAACTGCGGCGGGTTCCAGACTTCTCAACCCACAAACACCAAAGACATCTTAGGTCAGCAGGAAAGGTCTGTCGGACCGTGGTGAGAGAGGACCTTGGTCGGCCCCAATCCTGGCAGACGGGCTGCTTCCAGAGCTCTCAGCCCACAGATGATGGGGGGATCAAGTAGCTGATCAGAGGGGGATTGCAGGGATCTCTTTGCTGGTACTGAGGCAGGATTCTCTTGCTTTGCCTGTGCTTGGATCTGGGTTACAGTTCTGGGTGGCAGTCCTGAAGCAAGGGTGAGTCCTGGTATGATGGAGCTTGAAGTGTTGGTGGAGAGGGAATCCTCCTCACAGTTCCAAGGCAGAAGGGTGTTTGTGGTCACTCACAGACCAGAGCACAGGCCAGGAAAGGAGTAAACACCTTGCCCCTTATCATATCACCTTGGAAGAATTGAAAATTGAAAAGTCCCTAGAAGGATCTCTGAAAATAGCTGCACAAACCCCCGAAGCTTGGGACAGTACATTCTCCACATTGGAAGCAGACCCCTACCTTAACAAAGAGTTTAAAACTCAAATAATTGGCTGGGAACATGAGCAAACAGCACAAAAAAAGTCAGACCATAGAATCTTACTTTGGTGACAAAGATAAAAACATACAACCAGAAGAAGACAAAAAAAGTCAAAGCTCCTACATTCAAAGCCTCCAAGAAAAATATGAATTGGTCCCCAGCCACGGAAGAGCTCAAAAAGGATTCTGAGAAGTAGAGGAAAAACTGGGAAGAGAAATGAGAGTGATGCAAGAAAATAATGAAAAACAAGTCAATAGCTTGCTAAAGGAGACCCAAAAAAATACTGAAGAAAATAACACCTTAAAAAATAGCCTAACCCAAATGGCAAAAGAGGTCCAAAAAGCCAATGAGGAGAAGAATGTCTTAAAAAGCAGAATTGGCCAAATGGAAAAGGAAATTCAAAAGGTCACTCAAGAAAATACTGCCTTAAAAATTTGAATGGAGCAAATGAAAGCTAGTGACTTTATGAGAAATCAAGAAATTGTAAAACAGAACTAAAAGAATGAAAAAATAGAAGACAATGTGAAATATCTCACTGGAAAAACAACTGACCTGGAAAATAGATCCAGGAGAAATAATTTAAAAATTATTGGACTATCTCAAAGCCATGATCTTTTTAAAAAAGGAGCCTAGACATCATCTTTCAAGAAATTATCAAGGAAAACTGCCCTGATATTTTAGAACCACAGGGCAAAACAGAAATTGAAAGAATCCACCAATCTCCTCCTGAAAGAGATCCCCAAAGGAAAAGTCCTAGGAATATTGTAACCAAATTCCAGAGTTCCCAGGTCAAGGAGAAAATATTGCAAGCAGCCAGAAAGAAACATTTCAAGTATTGTTGGAAACACAATCAGGGTAACACAAGATTTAGCAGCTTCTACATTAAGGGACTGCAGGGCTTGGAATAGTAATATTCCAGAGGGCAAAGGAGATAGGATTACAACTGAGAATCACCTACCCAGAAAAACTGAGTATAATCCTTCAGGGGAAAATGTGGACATTCAGTGACATATAGGACTTTCAAGCATTCTTGATGAAAAGACCAGAGCTGAATAGAACATCTGACTTTCATTTGAAAGACTCAAGAGAAGCATGAAAAGGTAAACAGGAAAGAGAAATCATAAAGGACTTACTGAAGTTGAACTGTTTACATTCCTACATGGAAAGATGATATTTGTAACTCGTGAGACCTTTGTCAGTATTAGGGTAGTTGGAGGGAAAAAAATTATATGTACATATAGATAGATACATAGAAGGGAGAGTTGATTGGGGCAGGGAGTAATCAGAAGCAAACACAAAGCAGAAACAGAGTTAGAAGAAATAGAATAAACGGGGGCAGGATAGGATGAAGGGAAACATAGTTAGTTTTTCACAACATGACTACTATGAAGTGTTTTGTATGACTACACATGTATAGCCTGTATCGAGTTGCTTGCCTTTTCAATGAGGGAGGGTGGGGAGGGAGGAATGGAGAAAATTTGGAACCCAAAGTTTTATAAACTATTCCTGCCCTACAGGAAAATAGAAGGGGAAGGGGATAAGAGAAGGGGGAGGTAACAGAAGAGAGGGCAGATTAGGGGAAAGGGTGTTCAGAATGCATGCCATCTTGGGGTGGGGGGAGGGGTGAGATGGAGAGAAAATTTGGAACTCAAAATCTTGTGGAAGTAAATGAATGTTGAAAACTAAAAATAAATAAATTAAAAAAATAAATAAATAGCTTATGTACAAGGCAAAAAAAAAAGAAAATCATTAAATTCAGAGTTTAAAGCACAAAAATACACCACAACCAACTCCAGAAAGCAAACAAAAATAAGTTTATTGCTTAAGAACAGTGCATAGTAACTTTGTTCATGGTTTCTTGTAGCAAATCTAAAATGATTAGCATTTTACCTCTTAATTCAGTTACATAAACTGGAAAGGTTATTTTTTTTTTTAAACAATCAACATTAATTTTTAAACATCTTTAAAATCTGTTGTCAGGTCCTATGTAAGATTTGCCTTTCATAACTGAATATTCCTTTAAAGAAAAATGGTTGCATTCATGATCCTAGCCAAATGTATTTCACTTTATTCCAGGTTTAGAAAGCTATTATAAAACATAGTTTTAACCCAACTATCCAATTTAAGATGAAATAAAAGAATATTAAGATCAGTACTTCACTGAGAATTTTCTTTGTCTTTACTCATTCGAACTAGAAACTCTGTCAGGGTCCTTGTAGGCCTTCCTGACATTCCTTTCCTCAGATATGGAACCTCATCTTTATTTGTCATCACTCCTGCTATATCCAAATGAGCCCATTTAGAATGGGTTACAAATTCCTTCAGGAATGCCGCAGCTGTACAAGCTCCCCCAGATCTGCAAAGAAATTCAAAATGTTAAGCTTAAGTAATTACATCAACACCTTAAAATTGATGTGAGTACTCTTATCAGTGCACACACCAAACTCTCTAAGGCTTAGCAGGTGACTCTTCATGAGCCACTGTGGTCAAGAACAAAATCAACTAGTGACCAATCTTCTAGTGACTAGTTTTTCTGGAACTTCATCAAGCTAGGCCCTAAGGAACAGACACACCTATGTCCGAAGCCTTTACAGCTTGAATCTGGCAGAGTTTATGTTATATTATACCTTCAAGAACTTGGGGGATCTACCAGGCTAGGTAGGACAGGACTTTCGTAAGAAAATTATTTAATCCCTAAGGAATATAATGTACGTGGGGACAATTCTTCTAGAAAGAGACTCTTTCTCCCTCTGTAAGTACATATAACATTTATATCAAAATAGCTAAATGAAAAAACAAAATCTAACTTAAGAGGTTATAGAGAAATAATTTTTACAATATTCATTTTCAGATATGATCTAAATAGTAAAGAAAAAATTATTAAAGCAAACTCCTTCCTTCCCATGGGAATAGTCTGTGGCTCTTTATCCTTCTTCCTTTCCCAGCACATACGCATGCGCGCGCGCGCACACACACACACACACACACACACACACACACACACACTTTACCATATTCAAATTGGTCTGTGAAATCTGGCCTAATTTAAGCCCAAAGTAGAAAAATTTTAATTTAGTAACAATAGATTAAAAAAGGAAGCAGTTTTGTGTGGAAGCATCAGTCAGATCCTCAGATTTCATTACTAAATGCAGTACACAAAGGGCAGCTACTAAACCAATGAGATAAATTAGTATAATAATTTTTTTAAAGGGACAAAATAGAGTATAATAATTTTAGTAATTTGTTGTGCCATTAGCAAAGCCATGAATTTCAGCTAACTACATACCTGTATTTCCCAATATTATTAATATCAGCAAGTTGACAATCTACAATTTGTCTTGTATATTGGTCAAAGAGGGGCATCCTCCACATGCGGTCCCCTGTTTCAATGCTTGCCTGCAGAAGAAAAAGGTATGAGTGCTAAATGCTGAAGCTGTATGAGCTATCTTAAACTTATTATAATAATACACCAGATAGGAATATGAATTACTCAAAGGGAAATGTTATTTTCCATGTTAGAGTAAATATACAACACTAATTGTTCTCACATTTATATAGTCCTTTAAGACACAGCTTAGCAAGGCAGAAGAATTGAGATTTGATAACACACTCTGTCAGAGAACAAAACCCCATCCTGTTCCTTTCGTGTATATTTCCTATTTATATATATAAGTATGTATGTATACATGCGTATGTATGTGTGTATATATACATATATACTCATTTATTTATTTATGATTTTTAAAACATGAATAATAGAATTCTGGAAGACCATTTCCTGAGGAGTATGAAATGTCAGCAAAGAACCTAGAGAAATGGGTGAACCTAAAAACCTAGGCTGGGAAATGCTCCATATTTCATAGAGCTCAGAACCAGTTTACAGATGAACTGAAAGTATTTCAGATAGGACAAAAAATATCACTGGACAGCCCTAAAGAGAGCAAGGACTTTGACTTAGGAAGAGATAGGCATCTACTTGGTCTATCAGAGGGAAGCGTTATACAAACTGCACCCAGGGAAACATGGCCTTAACCAGTGAGACCACACACAGTTGCTAACTTTTTGGGGGAGGGATGGGGAACAGTCAATCTGGACTTGAGTCCTCAAAAGTGGTATGAACACATGTTATGGAACTCCCTCTACTGTTGCAGAAAAGCAACTTGCCTACAATTTATAATCCTCAAGAGTTGCTTGAGACCCTACTATGGATCAGAGGCAGGACTGAAACCAAGCATACCATGCTGCAATAACAATAATAATCCATCATTTTTAATGAACATGTCATAGAGTACAGAGACCACTGATTTAGAGTTGGAAGTGGCCTAGTCCAAACCTTCATTTTACAGAGAAGGAAACTGAGGCCCAGCAAAGAGAAATGGCTTGCCCAAAATCACACAGATACTCACTAGATTTGGGATTTGAACTCAAAGCTTCCAAGTCCAAACCCCTGTTCTTGCTTCACTTTTAAGGTTTACACAGTACTTGCCTTACAACCACCTTGTGAAGGAGGTAGTTCCAAACAAACTGAAGCTCAGTAAGGCAGAGACTTGCCCATGGTCTACATCTGCCTCATGTGGAAGCCAGAACTCCAGCCCAGCTCTGTGTCCACTACACCATACTCTTGCTAACAAATGCAGGCCCAGGGGCTGCCTTAGAATAAAATGTGAAGAAGCCTCAGTTCAGTGAAAAATAAAACCTGACTTAACAGCCTGGGTAGTGGACATGCTTCAGGCAAAACAATGAAGTCAGAAAAAAACACAGCTAGGGGAAGATAACAGAACTCTCAGGATCTGAAGTCAGAGCTGTAGAAGGGAGACAAAAGGAGACATCTAGAAGGTGAGTGAAGGGTGACCTGAAGCCTAGAAGAGGGATTTCTGTGGCCAAAAGAGCCAACCTCATTTACAGGAGCAGGCCCAGAAGGGCCTGAAAGGGCACAGCATAGGCCTGAAAGGATAAGCAGAGTTAAAGAGACAAGTGAAGATCCCAACAAACACAGGAGGCATGTCAACTCAAACCTAACCTGGACTAGAAGTCTGAGTACTGTTTTACTTGAGATAGGTTTGAGGTTAGAAAAAGGCAGGGGTCAGGTGTTTAGGTATCTCAACTGTAGTTAAACTAAGTCAGGGTCAACAAACTATACTCTAGAAATACAACTTAATTCTAGGCTATTTTGCTAATTTGTTTTCCACTAATTGGGGAATTAAGATTTTGAAAAATTCCTATTTTATTTCAGGTAAACTAAAATCAAAAGGATCTTGTGGTTCCACAGGCTGGATAAGGAATGAGCTCAGTGCCTCCTAGAGGCCGAGTGGCAGTAGATCAAAGCAGTTCCAGAACTAGAAAAAGCAAGTGGAGCTGGGCCAGAGAAGACTGGAATGGGAGAGACTAGGCTGGCTATACTGCCTGGACCCCTAACAAATAACCAGCCTCAAGGAACCCTGGGTGTGTTCCCATAGGACAATTCTGATATCATATTCCTATGTGCCTCAACAACATGAAACCATTACATACTCAACTCCTACTCTGATGCCTCAGCCTGGCATAGAAGGGACCAGGAGTTCTTGACAAGAGACACCAGCACAAGAAAAGCTTTGGCACAGACCACCAAATGATCACTTCTGCCTTCTGAAAACCAGTTTAGCTAAGACAGTTCCTTGAAGTACTGAAATATAATTCAACAGGACTATGTGAGACTGAATCATATGCAACTTTAGGCTTTAGGTCAGAGACCAAGGACTTTGCTCAGTAATAACTGAGCATCATTACTGACCATCATTATTAACCCCTTTGTCATCAGAGAATAATCTTGGGACATACTACTAGTTGGCTAATGGATAAATCTTCGTTACATACACTATTTTATTATGTAATGATCAAATTTCAGAAAATTATCCCAACAAGTTATGAATAATATAAAGTATTCCTTGCTTATTAGAAGCTTTAAGCTGTACCTCTTTAACTATCACAGTCTAAAGCTGGTGGGAAGAGAAGGCAAAGGGCGTATTATTCCCACAATTCTGATTTATTTTGTCCATGTGGGAATTCTGTTGATGCAGATCACAAAGCCCTTGAGTTTAACTCTGGTCTCAGACACCAGCGGTGTGACTCTGGGCAAGTCACTTAACCACTCTTAGTCTGCCTCAGTTTACTTATCTGTAAAATGGGAATAATAATAGCAGCTACATTCTAGGGTTGTTGAATGAATAAAATGAGATAATATTTCTAAAGTGCTTTGCAACCCTTAAAGTGCTAGCTATTGTTATCAGTAGTACGCTGTAATGAGTTGGAGATTTAAAAAAAAACAAAACACCTACAACCTGAAAGTCAATAGTCTCGTGATGAGTTGCTCCAAACCTAGCCAGACTGATCCTCACAGTGTAGACATATAGTCCATTTCTAGTTTGGCAGAATCTGCCAGTTTACATTTCACTAGACCAGCAACACTTAGGAAAACTGAGCCTCCAGGCCATGAAGAAGTATTAGAAAATTACTTAAGTTGGTTTTTCTTTCTTTTTTCCATTAAAAGTCATTTGATTCAGTCTGTTATGGTAAGTTTTCAACTTAAAGAGGAAAAGTCTTACAGAGTATTAAAACAGTGTATTTCAATCAATATTATGTAGATTATTTATTAGATCATAAAACTTAGTACACATCCTACCTCAAAGAGTTTAGTCCACAGCCAGGTTGAATTGGTAAAAACTCCAGTGGCACCTGACCCCAAAGCTATGTCCATGGCACCTGTTAAAAAAAAAAAAATACAAAAAGTTATTTTTTTTCAGCCACTTTGGAGGGAGCAGGGAACTACTTTGAGTTGAAGTCTTCATTTATATTTTAAAAATAATTCCCCTGCTACTATCTTGTTCAAAGTTTAGACTTTAAGGAAGACCCTTTAAAATGGATGTTTGGATATTAAGAAGGATGATATCACAAAGAAAAAATCACAAGCAACAAGCAAAACAAACTCCTAGGGCAGCTAGGTGGAGCAGTGGATAGAAAACAGGCCCTGGAGTCAGGAGGACCTGAATTCAAATCCTTGATACTTACTAGCTCTGTGTGACCCTGGGCAAGTCACTTAACCCCACTGCCTAGCAAAACAAACAAACAAAACAAACTCTTGGATCCTGAAGGAGGGGAAGGGTATAGGAGAAGGAAAGAAAAACAACAAACTTGAATCTAAGGGGAATAGCTGGGGGAAAAAAACAACCGTTGTATATAAATATTTGTAGTGGAAAATTATTGCTCTATAAGAAACGAAGGAGACAATTTTAGAAAATCCTGGATAGTACGAACTGAGACAATGAAGTGAATACAAAGAGGAGAGCTATTTTTCTAAGGACAGCAGCATCGTAAAGAAAGACAACTTCGACGGGGCAGCTAGATGGCTCACTGGATAGAGCTCTGGCCATGGAGTCAGCAGGACCTGAGTTCAAATCCAGCCTCAGACACTTGACACTTACTAGCTGTGTGACCCTGGGCAAGTCACTTAACCCTGCCTGCCTCATCAGAAAAGCAAAAAACAAACAAACTAAAAACAAACCAAAAAAAAGCCAAAACAACTTTGAAAGCCTGAAGAACTCTGGTCAATTCGATGATCTCCACTGCCCTGTCTCCAGAGGACCTATGATGAAGCGTGCCGTCCACTTCTTGACAAAAGGTGTTAGAAACAGGGCACAGAAAGGGACACATATTTTTGTTTGCTTTTCCCCCCCAATTTTTAAACATTTTTATTCAAAGTTTTCAGTTTGGGACATAGCCACTATGTGAATTTGTTTTACTTGATTATACTTATTTGTTGTAAGGGTTCCTTTCTGTTTTCAATAAGAAGAGGGTCATTAAAACTTTTTTAATGGCACAGAAGACAACAGAATAAAGTTCAGAAGGAAGCACAAACAAGCAGGACAGTTTTATAAATAATATATAGAATTTACTATATTTTAACAAGCCAGCAGTATAAAAATTCAGTTTCACAGAGGATCTTCTTTTTGTTTCCTGGTACATGTATGAAAATACTCTTTTTGTTGTTTAAGTTCAGAATTTTAAAAAAAAAACTTGGGAAAAATATTTTATTGGTATTCAACTGAACTACATTCACATTTTTTGTGGCACCTTAAGAATAATATTGTGGATTTGTAGATTTTTCTATAATATTTCATTATCAGAAATGTATCTGGGATGCTGTTCGGAGAATCAACAACATTTACGGGTGTTATGAAAACCTCTAAGGAATTATGTACAGTCTGGTAAATTATATGCAAAAGAAATATACAATATATAAGCTATGAGTCAATCTGTTATGAGCTTAGTCTAGTTAGTGAACTATACCTATATTCAATTCTGCCTGATAGAAATGCTTGTTAACTTCTTGATACTTTTTGTTTTACTTTTTTGCTAGTCCCTTAGCAAATTCCCCAGAGGAAAGGAGAAGAAATTACTTTATACCTGCCATTTTAAAAAGAGTGATTTAATAATTTAATAAATGATTTAATAATACCACCCTTCATAAAGTCCAGTACTTTACAGTTTACAAAGAGCCCATTATCTCGTTTGGCGCTTGGAATGATTCAGTAAGGTAAATACAGCAGGTGATATTCCCCGTCTTTTAGAGATGAAGAAATTAAAACTCAGAGATACTGAAGGACTTCGCCAACATGATAGCAGAAGTGAACCATGAGGAGCTAAAACTCACACTTGTGACTTAAAGCTGACAGCATCACAAGCAGCAGCAGTCATCCGTGAACTGAACTGTGTGGGCCCTCACCAGGAAAATTAAGTCAAGAAAAATCCAAACCCTCTCTCTTACTGGTATGTCTGCTTCAAAATGATAGAGGATTGCACAATTTAAAAAACTACACATATTTATAACACTAAACTAACAGTGCATGCAGAATAATAGTGCCTAATTTTTACACTTAATAAATTCTGTATGGTTTTGAGTAACAAATGCTAGGTTATCCAATTTCTAGTCTCTTTCCCATATATTCATGGAAAACTCCAGAGTTAGTTTAATGTTCAAAAATGTCTTAGCAGTATTGATCAACTTTTTACAAGGTATTAACAAATGAACTTTACATTCTCTGTCATTTATCCTCAAAATATTCTTTTGAGGTGGACAACAAATATCATTAGCCCCATTAAAATTATTTTAAGAACTATTAAGAGAAAAATGGAATCAAACTTGAAAAGCAAATGGATCAGGATTTTAAGGCCTTACTCCTAAGATAAGAGCTCTTTGAAAGAAGAAAAAAATATATGCACAAGGTGGTATATGCTAAAACCGCTCATAAAATGTATTTAGATTTTATATGAACAAGATGTGAGGAAAAATGTGTGGTTTACATTCAGGGCTGTAAGGTAACAGAAACTAGGAGACATCATTTCAGTGCCTGCATCAAATTAACAGTAATCTGTGTGCTAAAAGTAATGGAGCATTATCATCAATAAATTCTTAATGAGAACCAGCAGGAGGGTGGGCACTCAAAGGCCTACTGCGTACTTCAAACAGGATCAATTATTTTATATCCAATTACAGAGGCAGTACTATCTAATGACCCAGAATTTTCAAGGAGGCAAATCTGAGTCATGTCACAATGAAGTGGTCAGGAATCATAATTATGATGATTAGTAAATATCCAACCTCCAATAGATTAAAAAAACTCATGAAAGATTAAGCAATATGGTATTAAGGTTGAATAATACTGGTATTATACTACTCTCAGTATCATTAATTGAAAGCATGCTTGTTAAATAACAAAGTGAATAAAATCTATAAGCTTTTCTGTTATAAGCTATTACACAAACACGCTCTTTAAAATAAAACTTTATTTGAACTTATCCAAGTCTTCTGACAGGAAACTCTTCTCACACGTAGTATCTATGTTCTGTAACACACATTGGGCACCCAGGTTACCTATTTATGCCTCCTTCTCCTAGCACTTGTCCCATTTCATCAACACACGATATTGGCCTCAGTCTGTCAATACTGTTATTGGAAAAGCATCTCCCAGCCTTATCAAGCAAGAAAAAATGGTCTTTAATAAAAACAGTAACCTGGAACACATCACCTTTAATTATTCCCAATATTTTGTCTAAATCAATCTTTTCATGACCCTTTTGATTTCGGGAGCATGTCATTCTCTTTGTTTCCTTACCTATATTCCCCCTCACAGGTATATGTGAACATATTTCTTTATAAAGAAGACAGTACCACTAACTAAGGTAGTAGTATTACATAAATCTATGTAGAAATGTAAAGTAAATGATGGTATAAATTGGGAAACAGAGCATGAAATGGCAGCAGGAGCTAGACCTGACTTCAGGTATCTGGGATTTGAATTCCAGTTTTGATACTTAAAAGTGGGCAATTCTTATGACTTCTCATTATATTGCACCCAAATTTACCAATTTTCATCTTATTTCCTTATGGTCCATCATTCTGATGGGCTAAGATTTTTTTTGGATCTTGATTGTCATCTACAACCAATGTGTTAGCTGTCACTCCCAGCTTCACACTGTCTGCAAGTTCGATAAATACTCCATCTATACCCTCATCTAAGTCACAAAAACACTCAAGACCATAAATCAACTACTGCGACATTCCACTGGAGAACTCTTTCCAAGTAGACATCAACGGAAGCCTTTGATTCTGGTCATTCAACCAATACAAAATCCAACTAACCAGATGATCATAAAGTCTAATCTCTCCATCTTGTTTAAAGAAGATGGTATACTCAGACCAGTGCCTTTGTCAAATGCTTTGCCGAAATCTAGGCAGACTATCTATAGCCTTCTTTGGATCTAACATGAACCTCATTAAAAAAAAAAAAAAAAGATCTAGATGAGTCTGTGCCAAGACTTGGTTTTGAGAAAAGTTATGATGGCTTTTAGTGACCTCAGTTCCCTCTCCATGCTCTTATTTAGTTCTAGAGTCATGCGAGGAATCAAACTGAAACTCATTAGTTCAAGCTCCACCTTCTTTCTGTTTTGGGGGGAAAAAAAAAAGCAAAAACAAAGACTATAGCCTAGTTTCAGTTTCCTGGAATTGGATGATCAAGTTTAAGAAACCAAATGGTGAGCAGAACTAACAAGCTCAGTCACTAATCTCTGGGTGTTATAATTAAGGCACAGCCATCAAAGCTATGTAAGTACAAAGCTGAAGACAAATAAAACATATATGGTTAAACGTAGCAAAGTCATTAGTAAGAAGGTAGTACAAAGAATATACACATCAATAAGGGTTTTAGATCAATTCAAAGATGACATTGTGACTGTTAATAGGGAAATTTATGACAATTCTAGTAATATGGTAAGTTATATCTACAAGACTCGTTACAAATATCTTGTAAGTTAGATAATGTAGGTTAGCCCCATTTTTAAAGATGGGGCTCAAAGAGGAACTTTCCATGGTCACACAGCTTAAAAAGCAACTGTGAAGGGAATGAATCCAGATGTTCTGAATCCAAACTTGATACTCTGAACTTCTGATAAATACCTCTTTTGTGGGGCAGTCCTTACTACATAACATCTGTTAGCACCATTTTCCAAGTAATTTACCAGATGGATGACTCTGGTCAGATTACTTTTATGTTCTGACACTAGAGGCTAAAACCCTAATATTAAAAAAATCTAAATATTCTAAAGATTATTATTTTGCTGAAAAACATTCAAACACAAGTGTTAAGTTCTTATCTGTAAAGATTGACCTTCTAAGCATACACTGCATACATTAAACAATATAGCAAATAAACTCTTCTTAAAGAAAATGAAAAGGAAAATTTTGTTACCTGTTAATGTTGCAGCATTTATTATAACCTTTGGATTAAATGTGTGGGCATAACAGAGAGCATCAGCTAATATGAGCCTCCCCTCTGCATCTGTATTATCAACCTTCAGATAAAAGAAAAGATAATAAAAAAAACTAAGATTCAATTCAACAAACATTTATTAAGCATCTACCATGTGTGAAGCACTGTGCCTGGTGCTGGGGGGATAAAAGTCTTAACAAGACACCGACTATGCCCTGAGTTTATAGCCTTATAAGGTACTAAAACTCATACACTCACAACTACCACACTGAGACTTAAAAGATCTAAATGCGCCCTTAGAGAACCTCTGGTTCAATGCTAGAGAGATTAACTGAATGGCCAGGGTCACAGAGCTGGAGCTGGTTCTGGAATCCAGGTCTGGGACTCAGAATTATTTAAACCAAACCACTTTTCTTCATGATTATGTGCAATCAATTAGAAATGGCCACTGCCACAAAAGCTATGCTTGATAACGTTCTCTCAGAGAGCAAAATGATCAATTTACATGCACTATCAGTCAGGACTTGGATTATCCACGAGGCATTTAAAGTGAAAGAAGGTCTTAAACACCCCTATAGTCAATCTGATCCTTACTTCATCCCCCTTAATATTGCCAACTGAGGGCTTTCTCATAAGCAGAATGAATGCAAGTGTGATCTATCCCATCATTCCAACATTCTGAGAAAGAAAAAAGTTAATATACTTTCTGAAATCAAAAGATGTTATAAGGATAAAAGCTACAAAGGACCAGCCTTACTCCTCAGAGTAAAAGCTACATATAAAGACATTATATCCCAGCTATGTTCCTTTTCTTCTAAAAGGAGACAAACTGGGAGTGGGGAGAAAAAGATCCAGTCACAGTGAGCTATCAACTGTGCTGCAGGGATGTTTGTCTGTATTATTCTAAAATAAAGGTAACAAGGAGCAACTATACCTTGGTTATAGTCCAGCTTCATTTAAAATGAACAGTATTTCATTTTATTACACAATAACTCAAATATAGTGCTGTAGGGTTTAAAAGCACTTACAACTGTGTGAAGCAGGCAACACAATCTGCAAAACGGAGGAAGTCCTGGCTCAGGAAGGTTAATCAACATAATCACACGGCTACTAAGTGTTACAGCCAATGTTCAAAACCCCCCCAGCTCCTGCCTCCAGGTCTCAGGTTCTTTCCATTAGATGATTACTGCAAAGCCACACCAAACTGTGTGTGAGAGACAGGAGTGGGAAGAGATGAGATGAGAGAGAATTCTGATTCTGAAAAAAACAGAACCAGGGTAGATTTGCAGAATGTTTTACATTCTTCCAAAGCACTTTCACATCCCTGGATAATTCATCTGATGATCACTGAGTCATGATAAGCAGCAAATGTATGTAAATACCTGTATCGTTTTTCCATTCCTCGCCTGAACTACATCTCCTGGTTTGTTTGCCTTCCCACTGGGCATATTTTCACAAAGTGGAGCCAAACCTGAGGAGAATCAAACACACAAACACAATGAACATACTATTAATTTGACCAAAAGGACACAGAATTTGGTATAAAATTATAGAATTCAGACAAATTTCCTTCGTGAAGGGGATTACCCCCTAACACAGTACTGCCTCTTCCAGTCCATTATCACATAGTTCTTACTTGGTAAACTTCAACTGGAAAGCTTGTGATGTTCAATGTTTTTGCAAAAGTAAGCTAACCTGTTGTCTTAATTGAGTTATCTGTCTAACACTACACAATTTATTTTAGGAATGAAAAATGAGTGCTCTACTTGCCTAGGAAGAAGCTACTGGGTAGCCAGCAGAACTTTTAAAGCCTTTTCTCAAACCAATGAAAGCATTTATTAATCACATAGTGAGTATTTAATACTACAGCAAGTGAGGGAGGAGAAGGGGGTGGGGAGAGAAGATACCAAAAAAGTAGAAATGAGGATTTCTGGATCTGAGGAGCTTCAGATAACTCAGAAGAGCCAACTATTACCATATTAAATAAAGCAAGAGCACTATAAAACAGTTGCTGATGAAGTGTATGGCCTTAAAATGTGGTGACAAGAAATGAACTTAATGCTGCAAGTGTGAAGTGACCTCAAGATATGCACCAGTGGTACAGAGCACTGTAGGAATACTGTCTCCTCTATGCTGGACATTATAACGCTTAATGCAATAGTAGTTATCTCTTCCACATTGTGACTTTCCCTATCACAGTTTCGCTATATCAAGGGTCAGCGTAAGAAATTAAATGGGAATTTTTTGGGAGTTTTGTGGAAGCCACAAATGACACAGAAAAAGTTTAGAAACTCAGAAATGCATTAAATATGAGTACAGCATTGCAAAACATCAACATACTTTATCTTTTAATACCATAATAATTCAGACTTCTTCTTTGGTACCAAAGGAGGGCCAAAACATTTTATGCGGATTTTCCACACTGCAGGATCACCACGTCCCTAATCCCCAAATGTGGAAGGGATAACCAATAGTTTTTTCAGTGACACACCACGCTAAAGTCTCCCTAGATATTTTTCACAGCAATGAACTCTCTCACATCCTAGACTTTGGAAAAAAGGGTTCTTTTTTTTGTTCAATATAATTTTTATTTTATTTAGTTAATTTCAGAATTTCTCTCATATCTTTCCCCTCTCTCCTTCTCAGAGAGCCATCCTGTATTTAAAAAAAAAAAAAGGTTTTTTTTTTAAGGTTAATGAAAATAAAAGAGAGAGGAAGATGAGAAAAAAAATCAGCAAATCAATACAAGGAAAAAGTTTGAATATATATGTATCTACATGTACGTCTGTGTGTGTGTGTGTGTGTGTATACAAAATGTGGAGTGGGAGTGTCTTCTCATCTCTCTTCCTTGGGGTCATGCTTGTTCTTTTGTAACTTTGCAACATTCCTTTTGTTTTGTAGTTGTTCTTTCCATTTATGCTGTTGTAAAAGTTGCAATTTTTAATCCAAGCAAATAACTTTATATTTATCTCTCTTCAATTTCACCTTATTTGACTTAACCTCCCATTCTAGGCATCAAGATCAATAGAGTTCCTGACTCATTACTGTTAGCTATCCCTCCCAACTTCATGTTAATTACAAATGTGAAAAGCATGATTTCTAGGCCTTCATCTAATGCACTGGAACAAAGGTCCAAGAGCACAGGACCAGGGATAGTTAGAGCTACTGCAATAGAAAACTCCCTCCAAATTGACACCAATCTATTAATAAATATTTTGGGTTCATCCCATCTCTATTTGCTACTGACATAATTTTAGGCAAATTACTTCGCCTCTCTAGTGCTCCATTTCTTTATAAAATGAGGGAGGAGCTGGACTAGGTGACCTCCAACATCTTTCCCAGTTCTTGATCTATAATTCTACCGTTACTGTCAATTTCCATCTTGGTTCAGTGAATTCCCTGAAAGTCTATGCAGTTGCCAAATCAGCAATGGAACCTTTTACCATTTTTCACTTGTGTATATAACCAGCACAATTCACACAAATTCTCCAAGATATACAGCTATTTATCAAATTCTCCTATTCCTTTTCCCCATTCCTGACTTACCAATAAGATTAAGTGGTAAGTTTAGAGTTGCTGCTGTGATGATGGTTGAACATATAGTTGCTGCACCCCCCATGTCAGCTCTCATAAGATCCATGTTTGCAGAAGGTTTGATTGAGATGCCACCACTGATGAAGAACAGAGAATAACATTAATAAGAAATCTGGTCTCAACTGTGTAAAGATATGCCAAATGTCACTTCCTTTCTGAAAATAACCTTCAAAATTCTTCTTTAAACATTATACAAGATACCTGACAAAAATAATTTAGAATCCTTACTTAAGGGACATTTAGGTTATTTTAATTTTGTCACAATCAACATGTAACACTTTTTAAAAAAAATACTACATTATTTATTTTATTTTTTAGGCAATTGGGGTTAAGTGACTTGCCCAGGGTCACACAGCTAGCAAGTGGCAAGTGTTTGGTCTTAGGCCGGATTTGAACTCAGGTCCTCCTGACTTCAGGGCTGCTGCTCTATCCACTACGCCACCTAGCTGCCCCAACATAAAACACTCTTAAAAACATCAAGATTATTCTAAAAAAAAGTACAGATAGTTTCTGGTTATGGTAAATTAGAATATTACTACTGTGTATTACAAAAAGTTAGTAATATTTTGTTGCCAAATAGTTGTTTCCATCAGGGAATTCAAATTATTTTTAACTATTATCTCATTAATCCCTCAAATTACCTATTTTTTACCTTTTATCTAATTAACCCTATATACTATTTCATTTAGTGATCTCATCAGTTCTCAAGGACTCAAGTATCTCTATGCTGCTGATTCTTAAGATTTATTTATAATCCTAACCTCCAATTTCACATCTCCAACTACCTATTGGATACCTCAAACTTGATGTCCCATAGACCTCTTAAATTCAATGACTAAAACCGAACTCATTCATTACCTTTCTCCATAAAAATCTTTCCCTCTAACTTTCCTATTACTATCAAGGGTACCACCAGCCTCCTACTCATTCAGGCTCACATTCAAGGTATCATCCTCAACTCCTTACAGCTTACTCCTCATACTGACTCTGTTGCCAAGTTCCGTTGATTTTTACCTTTGTTAGCATCTCTCAAATATGCCCCTTTTCTCCTCTGATATTGCCACCCTGCTGGAATAGGCCCTCATCACCTCATGCCTGACTACTGAAGTAATCTGATGGTTGGTCTTTCTCATTTCAGTCTGTCCTCCACTCAGCTACCAAATTGATCTTTCTAAAAAACGGGTCTGACCAAGTCATTCTCTTCCAACCCTCTACCATCAAATATAAAATGCTCTATTTAGTGTTTAAAACCCTTCATAACCACCCCTTCCACCTTTCCAATCTTCTTATCCTTTATTCCTCACCACATATGTTGTGATAAAATGCTAATGACCTTCCTGCTGTTCCTTAAAAAAGACCCTCTATCTCTCAATTCTGTATTTTCACTGTCTATTTCCCTTGCCTGAAATTCTGCCCCTCCTCAGTTTTGTCTCTTGGTTTCCTTCAAGTCCCAGATAAAATCTCACCTATAAGAAGTCTTCCCTCTACTGATTATTTCCAAATTATACTGTATATATCTTGTTTGTACGTCCTTGTTTACATGTTGTCTCCCCATTAGGCTATTAGTGCCTCAAAGGAAAGGACTACTTTTTACCCTTCTTGTATCCCAGTGCTTAATACCGTGCCTAGAAGACAGTAGGTGCTAAATAAATGCTTGTTGATTCAACATCCTAAATAGGTAATCTTATCACATATTTGATGGAAGTAGTCCAATTATCCAGCCAAGAGAATGACGCCACGATGCCTTAAGATTGTGTATTAAAGCTTTGCACAGGAGACATAGAAGAATTCATATTGATATCTCCTATGAAAGCATCATGAGAATTTTCTCCCTTTTACAACTCAACAATGCATGTCAAGGAACACTCTGAAAACGAGAAATAAACATCTAAAGGGTAAATTATCAACCCGAACTAAATTCTAAAGTACAAGAACCAACAATCACATTACCCAAGTAGCCAAGCGTACAATGAGTAAGGAGTAGAACTCACATGTCATAAAACTACCCTTATAAAATCTCTTAGTGATCATTGTGACTCAACGGAAATGAAAAAGAAGGGGAAACAGCATGTAAGAGGACACTAGAGAAGGTTACAATTAGATCTAATTCAGGTACCAAGGTCTCTACAAGCCTCCCCATCATTAATTTCCTCCTTTGACTTACCAGTTTGCTAACCTGGAAAATCAGGCTCATCATTCTTACTTATGTCACAGGCACAGAATGAAAACTGGGTGGCCAAGAAGCTAGGTTATTACTCTTAGAATTACAGGCACCCAAAATACCATCTTAAAAGATTACTCACTAAGCTGTGTGACTCTGGGCAAGTCACTTAACCCCAATATGCCTCACACACACACAAAAAAAGGATTATTAAAATGTGCGTGATACATGATAAAGAAAAAGACACACAGAAGATAAGATCTTCCAAGAGATTTCACCGATTTCAAATTCCTCTTTACTGGGATGTAGTAGAAAATGTAGTAGGCTTATTGTGAGGAAAATTCTGGGCGACACACTGCTGTGCTTAGCAGAGTGCTGGCATACAATAGGCAGTTAATAAGTGTTTGCTGACTAACTACTAGATGTGTGACCACAATCTTTCTGAGACTCATCTGTAAAATGGTGATAATAATACCTGAAGTGTTTATCTCTCAGAATTCTTGTATAGACTAAATCAAATCACTCCTATATAGAAACCACTTGGCAAATCTTAAAGAGCTCTATAAATGCCAGCTGCTGCCCTGATTATTCTCTGATAGATGACAATTTTATGTCTCAGAAGATAAAAGCCAAGAAAAGAATTACGATTTCATTCTGACCCACAAGGAATCACTGGTTGGTAAAGCAGAAATAGTGAGCAAAGTGACTGTGATTATCATCTCAGAAATCTCAACAGTCAAACAAAAAACACCGGACAGGCTGACAGCTACTCTGTACTTGTAGCGCAGTGGGGTTCAGGATGAAGAGTACCTGCATGGAAAGACCGTTAACAAACTTCGCTGCCACTCACAGAGGAAGGGGGGGGGACCAGCTGCCAGCAGGGACCGCCTGAGTGCATGGCCACTATGCCCATGTTGGGTAACACACAGGGGGCCGATCCACACTCCACTCAAAAGCCCACCAGGCTCAACCTTACATATTATTTCAGACAAAGAGCAAGTATGATACCAATGAGACTGTCCCATTACCTACAGAGCCAGTAAAGTGAGGATATTTTCTAAATTACCTAACAAGGAGGAAGGAGCAAAGAAGCAGGAATGAGAAATACAAAGTAAGAAACTTAATCAAAAGTAACATTCCTGCAAAAAGGCAGAAAAGCACTAATGTCCTCAATAGTTTCTGGGTTAATTCGCCTTAGCATGCTTGCATTCTGGGGGCTGAGACTCTACCAAACTGGTTTTTTACCAGTTGACAACACTTCAGGAAGGTAGGTTTACACTAGATAGGTATGGTCCAACAGCCAAAGATTCTCAAAGACAAGGCAGCTCAAAGTAGAGCGTATGCTCTCAAAAATGAAATTCTTATAATGAGAGTCACAAATATTCCTGATGAAAAAGAAAGGCACATGAGATATTTGCTTGGGTCATAGCTTCTTACTAGACTATAAGCTCCCAGAATGGTATGAATCACATTTTATCTAAATGTTACCATCATCTCCTTCAGTGACTGACAGTGATCTGTACACAGTAAGCACTAAAGGTTTGTTGAATGAATAAATGCCAAAGAGAGAAGTCATCTAATAAAACCTGTGTGACTGCAATGAACTCCTTATTTTAAAAGGACTATAGGTAGAAAGAGGGTCAGAGAACCACAAATAAAAGAGTGGCTGGAAAAACCAAAGGATAGTGCCAAAAAGTCTGGAACAGGGAATTAACTGAATCTTGAGATCATTGCGAAGAACAATAAAAAAAAACACTTAGTTTTATTCAGAGGCAAATGTAGAACAAGAAAAGAATAATGCCCATTCCTTAGGGTGGAAACAGATAAAAGAAATCAGATTAACTTCCCTCTGGCTTCTGCTGTATCAATCAAGAAAAATGATCTGCGAAGTATAAAAAAACAACAACCACCACCCCACCATAGTGAAGATGGTAAAAAAGCCCAAGATGGCAAGAGAGTATACGTAAGCACCTTAAATGAGTTCAGGCCTCTTCATACCATTTTGACATCGGTCTCCACCAAAATTCTGGAATGGATTTTTTATTCTTTTAAATAGATGATGTGTGAGCAATAAAAAAGGGAAGTGATTACTGGGAAGCAGTATGAATTCACCAAACATAGGTCTTGCCAAATTAACTTCCCATTTCTTTTTTTTTTGACAAGTCACTAAATAAGGAGGTAGATCAAAAGAATGCTCTAATCACAGCACATCTCAATTTCAATGAAGAATATAAGACACTTCCTCATATCTTTTTGGATAAAATGGAGAAAAGTGGATTTACAGGAAATTTATAGTTTTTAAAATAACTTCACCCCAAGTCTGATTAATCAACGTCCAGACCACTCTGGACATTGGCTTTGTCTTATTCAAAATTTTTATGGACCTGCGTTGGTAAAAGTCCAAACCTCTCCCTACACCAATGAAATCACATTCAATCCAAAAAGAAAAAATTCTACCAAGCACTGTACTTTGTTCATAATACAATAACTGTAAATTTACCTATCAAAGGTAATTCCTTTCCCAACAAACACCAATGGTGAGTCATCTGCATTTGGACTGCCTGTATAGTGGATTTCTAAGAAAACTGGTGGTTCATCGGACCCTTTTGCCACACTTAGGAAGGCTCCCATTGCTTGATCCTCAATCCAGGATTTGGTCCTGTAAGAAGGGAATACAGGGAAGAAGGAAATCAGAATAAATGTACTTTATTATTTTTGTTTCAGAAGTTTAAAAATCTCAATGTAAAAATGTACTTATTGTCTCTAGGCTTTAAGTAACAGTACTTAAAATATAAATGCATTTTTAGATGGTGGTTTCTCAAATCCCTATGATTTATTTTGGTTTTGGGGAACAAATGCATATATTCCCATGGTTTCTACCCAAAAGCTGAAGGCAGCAAATCCCCTGAGTTTTCTCATCTGTAAAATGTGGGGGCTAGTTAGATGAAATCTACATTAACTTGAAGTTTTAAGTCCTAAAATCCTCTGATCTTGTGACCATCATCGATGTGTACAAATGTAGCTAAACATTAACGATTTATCACTACCAGTCATTTCTGCAGTGTACAAATTTAAGACTAAATTCTGTTAATTTCTGGTCCCAATCAGTAACAGGACAATAAGCCAGAAAGGGCAAAAGTTAGACTTAGACACACCCACACACACACCCCCAATCAGTTATTCCTATAGCTTAAGAAATATTGCTTCAATTTACTCCACCTTCACTGGCTGAGACATTTAAAAGAAGTAACACACTATATTTTACAATTAATTCTGCAAAAACTATTAAAAATATATTATTGCCTAATGAAGAAATAGCCTTTAATCCTCAAGAAGAAATAAAGTACATATGCATATATACATACACATATATATACACACACACAAAAGGCACGATTAAAATTAAGTCACTTAAAAGGGAACAAGGAAACAACGGGGGTGTTTTATAGTTTAAAATAGCAATTCAGCACTGTGGTTTTTAAAAAATGCCCTCTCCTTATAAAAGTTTTGCATATAAACATATGCAAACATTGGAGTACCATCTAGAGTCATCTGACAAAATGCCAACTAGTTTCTTTTCATGGGGAAAAAAAAGATGTTCTTTCTTGAGGTGCTTCTATGGAATCTAAAAAGTTTCTAGGACTAAAACGTATTGAGCACACTAGACACTGTATTGAGTATTTTAATTTTAGCCTGTAGGTATAATACAGTTTATACAATGGTTATGTTCCTTGAAAATGTATAAATCAAATCCTGTCTTAAATATGCTGGAGGCATTTGTTACAAGAATTCTATAACAAACTGCTTCACATAATGAAAAAGGCCTCTTCAAAGCAAATCAGCAAGGTCCTTAAGACATTTCCTCATATCTTTTTGGATAAAACAGAGAAAAGTCCATTGCTAGTGGACCCTCTCCCCACCGTCCTCCAAGCCATTTTTCTCATTGATTGTTCACACACCAGGCTTGCTTAAAGAAAGTTCATCTGTTATTGTTTCAAACTGAAGGTTGATTATGAGGTAATTTCAAGAGGGCTGTGGGCACCACAGCTACAGATCTCCAAACATACTTCTGAAGTGGTGGCTGCAGCAATTTATAAGAAACTTGTGGGGGAAACATTAGGGAATGATTCTGTCACCATGAAGTAGGATGATGAAGGGAAAAAGGTGCTAGACTTGTGGTCAAGGGACATGAATTTGAATCCTAGATCCAACATAGACTTGCTATGTGGCTCTGGGCAAGTCTCTGAGAATTGGCTGCCTCTTCTAAAAACGGGAATAACATTATTTGTGCTTTCCAGCTCACGTGGCAGTTATAAGGGAAGTCCCTGATGAATTTCAAAGTGCTATATAAATGTGACCCCCCATCATCATCACCACCACTAGTTTCTTGGTGTCTGAAGATGCTCTGTCCAAGACATTTGTTACAAAATCAATCTCTATTTCACGTGAAGTTATCTCCAGTTGTGCTGAAAGAGTAAATCAAATGAGGGATTTGTTGTACAAATGGGGACAACATGTAAACCTAAGTACCTGAATAGCAACCTGAACAAGAAATCATCTGGGCATACCTTATGTGTACCGTTGTACTGTTATTCACACTTTTGAGCTTCTGCTCAATGACTTCTGCAAATCTAGTTGGAGTCATTTTGTTGGCTGGTGTTTCCATCAAGTGGCGGGCTAGGTTCTGCCCATTAGCAAACACAACTCCTTTCTGCCAAGCTTCATCATCACCACTAAACAAAATGCAAAATGTCATTGTAAGAAAGACTCTCCTTCAACACCGATTATCTTATAGCTATTGTACTGATCCAAATATAAACCATTAATGAATAGCAATGATATCTCTTTGACAGAAAATGTTACACATTCATAATGTGTTATACTGAACATGGACATTTATCATTACATGTCATGTGCACATATGGGTACTAAACACCCATTACAAACTATATTCAGGTCTTAAATTAGATTTGGGAAGAAAGTTTGGTCTGTATTCAGATGAACACAGTAGCACTGTATCTTACTTTAAACAAAAGAGGAGCATCAAAAAGAATATTGGGTGCAAGATAAACTTCTTTTAATCTGACACAGTTGAAGCAGTGTGATATATTGGAAAACACAATGGAATGTAAGTCAGGGAACTTATCTAGTTCTGTCGAGATCCATATCTTCTACAAACTAGCCATGTGAATTTGGGTAGGTCATCTAATTTCTCCAGGTTTCAATTTTCCCATTTGAAAATGATGGGGAATTGGATACAATTATTTTTCAGGTCCCTTCCAGCTTTAACATTTCATTCTCTTATTCTAGTACATCACAACAGAGCAATCTCAACAGGGTATACTGGAAAGAGCACTGGATTCCAAAGTAAGCTACCTGGGTCCTATCCTTATTCAACCATACACTACTTATGTGACTTTGAGTAAGTTGTTTGACCTGGGCCTCACTTTTCATATCTGTAGGAGGAGGGGAATGAACCAGACGATCTGTACGCTTTCTTTCAGCTCTGACACTTTCATTGAGAGAGCTCCAGGAAGGAGAAAGGAAGAGGAAGAATAGGGTAAATTATTTCACATGAAACAGACAAGAAAAGGCTTTTACAGTGGAGGGGAAATGGGGGAAGGTGAGAGGGAATGAGTCAATCTTATTCTCATAGGATTTGGCTCAAGGAGGGAATAACATACACAATGCGGTATGGAAATCTATCTTACCCTACAGAAAAATAAGGGGGGAAGGGGACAAGAGAACAGGGGGTTGATAGAGGGGATGGCAGATTGGGGGAGGGGATAATCAGAAGCAAACACTTTAGAGGAGGGACAGGGTCAAAAGAGAGAATAGAATAAATGGGGGATAGGATAGGATGAAGGGAAATATACTTAGTTTTTCACAACATGACTACTATGGAAGTGTTTTGCATGACTACACATCTAATAACCTGTATCGAGATGCTTGCCTTTTCAATGAGGGTGAGTGGGGGGGGGAGGAAGAGAGAAAATTTGTAACCAAAGTTTTAAAAACACGTGTTAAATTTAAAAAAAAAAGAGAGAGCGCTCCATATAAGAGGTGTCAAACTCGAGGATCCCCTGAGTCCACAGGAATCAGATTAAGATGTAATTGGGAGGGGGCAGCTAGGTGGCGCAATATGTAGAGCTCTGGCCTTGGAGTCAGAAGGACTCAAGTTCAAATCTGGCCTCTGACACTTGAAACTTACTAGCTGTGTGACCCTGGGCAAGTCACTTAACCCTGATAGCTGCAGCAAAAAAAAAAAAAGATGTAATTGGAACATGTTTAACTAAATAAATAAAATTCAATGCAACATAATGTTAATTCATAGGTTTCTAAGTCAATTGAGTTTGATACCACTACTCTGGATAACTTCCAAGTTTCCATTTTTTGAAAAAACTCTAAAACTCCACTGGTCTTTTAGTTTATATCACATGTTTGGTTCTGTCCTTATTACCTCCCATAGAGTTGAGCAGAAACTACAGTCTTCTTTTTTTGCTTCAGCTCATCAAATTCATAGAGACCAAGAACAGCTCCTTCTGCAGCAGCTTGAGCATCTCCACAGGGATCCACTTCCACAGAAGTAATTTCCAGGTCCTGAATCTGCCTGCATGCAGCTAAAAGGAAAAACACATCACATCAAAGACAAAGCTTCAGGGGATAGATGGAGATGGCAGAGGGGACAAGGACAAGGAGTTTCTAAAGCTCTACAATGTTCTAGTTAAATTCCCACATTTCTTCCAAGCTTATTGGAAAGAGATGACACAAAGCAATGATGAAGCAACTGAACAGAGTCCAATATTAACCCGGCACTTCATTAATGACGTAATATCTAGGTCAGCAAAACATGAGGAATTCAAATAATGAAGTGATCATTAAACATAAACTTTGACAAATAAATTTAATAAGCATTTATGATGCAGCTGGTGTCAAACATCAAACACTAATTTTTTACTGCTTTAAAATCATTTTATGTGGCATCTTTTAACCACAATCTTCCTGCACAACTTCCTTTTATGCTAAAAAATGTTCTCAGCTCCCAAGTGACAGCCAGTAAGTTGGGTTAATACTTATTTGCCTACCACTATCATATACAAAGAGTCATTCAAATACTTTTTCTTGTTTGCTTTCATTTGCAAATATGTTTAATCTATATTATTTAGAAGATGTGAAACAATGAAGCTGCTTTGTTAAAGAAATAGAACCATACAGCCATATACCAGAACTGTCACATTTCCAATAAAATGCAATGAAGTAGAAAGCACACCAGGTCTTGGGGTCAGAAGATCTAAAGTTCTGACTCTGCCACATTAAACCTTGAGTGGCAAGCAGCTTCACCTCTGATTTTCCATTTCTTTATATGTAAAATAGGAGTAGTATTACTTCCATCACCTACCTTATAGGGCTGTTTGTAAGGAAAGTGCTTTGTAAACTATTATATCCATATGAGCTGCTATCATAAAAGAAAAGCAGAATCACACCACAGTTACTAAAACTAAATATTCAATATTCTCAATATTAATAGTTTTCAACATTCATGATAATGTCAACTCCACTCTCAAGATAACACCTTAGTACTTCACAGCGTCATTTTTTGTTTGTTTGAAACAAAGTTTCCAAAGCTAAATCCACCAAGATCTTGTGGGACCTTTTTTAATGAACATTAAATTTTTTTAAAAGGAAAATAACCTGCAACAGCGACTCGGATGTTTTCTTTGCCTTCATTCCAGTTTTCCAGTTCATCTACTCCAGACGTCTTTTTACCCAGGCCAGTTACAACAACACTGGGGAAGTCCTATACCGAAAACATCCAAACCCAAAACTTTTAATTTCTTTATATTCAATCTTCATGCTTTCATTTTAAAAATAATACAAACTAACCTACATGTATTGTGGAACAGATGGAAAGCATCACCAACATCTTCTGTTACTTGTTTATGACCAATACAGGGCAGAACCAATAGTAAACTTTCTTTCTTTTGGGCTCTTACACATTTATAAAAATTTTTACATGTGCCTCTATTACAAACAGTGCTACTGAAATATAGCCCAAATTTTCTGACTATGACAGATCCATAGGAAGAAATCTTCCAACAACAGTAGGGGTACAGTGGAAAAAGCTTTTAGGTCATTTCCCAATGGACAAATAATAAAATGATATAAACAAAAGGTCTCGAAAGAAGAGCAAACCATTAACTACCACATGAAAGTCAAGTCACTAATAAGAGAAACGCAAGTCAAAACATCTCTTAAGTTTCTTTACAAGGTTTTTCTAAGTTCTTTTTTTAAACCTTATACCCAGTAAATCAACCAAGATGGAAATAGTCAATGTTAAAAGGGCTACAGAAAGACAGGCACTCTGTTAGTAGAGCTATTCTGGAAAGCAATTTGGAATATTGCTAAAATGGTCACTCAAGTGTCCATACACTTTAACTCAGAGAACACAGGGCTATGCATATACACTAAACAGGTCAAAGAAAGAAAAGGGTTCCATAATACATGAAAATATTCATACTAGAAAGAAGTAGGAAGCCATCAATTGGCCTAAAGAAACCAGTGGTACTTCAATATAATGTAATCGGCCATTACTGTGTTGTAAGAAACTATGAATAAATTCACAAAAAAACTCCCAACAACAAAAAACCATTCAAAAGAAACAACAAATAGAAAAATATGAACTCAGAGAAGGATGGGAATCTATACAACTACATAAAGAATAAAGAACAAACAACCACATACAAGAACAAAAAAAATGAAACTGAATGTTGTCTACTTTAGGACCAACCTTGGTCCTGAGGAACTGAGCAAAATGTTCCTCCTGTTTACTAGTCAGTAAGCCTTCTCTAAGCCTCAATTTTCTTTGCCTATAAAATGGGTTGGACTGAGGGTACTCTAAGGTCCCTTCCAGTTTTATATTCTCAGACACAGCGTATGCTGGGTTGCTTTGTTGAACCCACTTTTGTTCTTTAAAATTTTTGTTACCAAGGATAGACCTCGGTTAGGGGAAGGGAAGAGAGATGCTAAGAAATAAATGTGACATAAAAATTAGAGATTTATAACAAAAATTAGATAAATTTAAAAGCAGGAACATTCTATGAGAAAACAAGAAACTGAGATACATGTAAAAAATTAAAGTCAATACAAAGAGAATCATGATGTTTAATACTGGAACGACATACCTTAAGAGTCTTCAAAAAACAATCTCTCATCAAATTAATCAGAGAGCAAATTTGAAAGTACTTTGTAATTATAAAGCCCAACACAAGTATAACTTATTATCATCACTATCAATATTGTTGATTCCTACCTGATGAAGGCCATAAAATATACGTGTTTTGCCTGCCTTCAGTGGAGGTCCAGATCTGAATGGAAAAAAAAAAGGCTTTGTTTATAAAAATGACAACTTACCTCAATTTTTACAGGAATGTCATGACCATATATCTCAACTATCACTTATTTCTCAAAGGTTATCATTTCTAGTCTGCACAGAATGATCACATCATTCCTTTGCTCCAAGAGTTCCAGTAATGCTACACTGACTCCTGCATACACAGGTTTCCCACCCCGAAAACTTTAGATCCTTGTGCTTGACATTTAAAACCCTCTCCAACTTTCCCAACTTCAGTGGGCCATCCTATGGATCTTCCCTTTCTCCAGATTTTACTCTTCTAGAGCAGAAGTATCAAATACACAGCCTGTAATTGGGAAATATTTAACAAAATAAATAAAAATACAATAGAACATAATTTTACAACGTACAACCTGCACAGATCCTTGAATATAGTTCAGTGGCCCCCTTCTCTGAGTTTGACATCACTGCTTTAGAGGACAATTTTTCTCCTTTGAAATATGCCCTACATTCTCCTGCCACCATTCCTTTTTTCACCATATTATCTTCTTCCCTCCCCCCCCTTTTCTTTTGGTGAGGCAACTGGGGTTAAGTGATTTGCCCAGGGTCACACAGCTAGTAAGTGTTATGTGTCTAAGGCCATATTTGAACTCAGGTCCTCCTGCATACAGGGCAGGTGCTCTATCCATTGTGCCACCCAGCTGCCCTCCCCTTCTTTACCATATGAATTCCGACCCATAATTTAAAGCCTCGATCAAATGCTACTTCATAAAATCCCCTTTACTCCCTCCACTGTAACAACCCACAGAACTCACACAGTACTTTGTTCTATACTTCTCTGATGCACTTATCCCATAAAACAATACATCACAGTTAACAGTACTAGGTTATCATCCATCAGCATTTTGCACATAGTGGGAACTTAAGATGTAATCCTGAATGTTATTTCAGTGTGGGCAGATACTATCTTTGTAATGCCTTGCATATTATAGATGTACAATAAATGCTCAACGAACAAATACATCAGCAAGAATTTCTCAGTCTGGGACACACTGACCAAGATGACTGAGTGCCATACTGATGCCTATTTAACAGGCTCATTCAAGAACCTCATTACTACTACGTAAACACCCTATGTGCTGTGACAGCCTATCTGCTAGACTTAATGGTGGAAAACTAAGGACTAAAGAAGCTTGGAAGTTCTCATTCACAGAGGGATTATAAATGATTTACTAACAGAATAGAAGGCCATGGGAGATTATTCCAAGGTAGGTAAGGCTCAGCGGCTGTTAAGAATCAGATGGTAGAAGCCCTAAGTTGTGTTACATTGTATTAGGTTAGCTCTGGCATGTTTTTCAAGGTGGTGATAGAAGAAGCTATACACCAAAAAGTACAGCTATGGACAGTACCCTGATACAGTAATAATGGTGGGAAAGGGTATAAACAATTATATGCTTAATTATATATTATATATAATATATATAATATATATATTATATGTTTATACATGACTACTGCTATATCCAACACCAACTTGAAAATCTAACAAATGAGGGTAGAAGAATCCAAAGATAAATTTTAAAACTAAAAGTATGGTACAGTGGCAGGATCCTTTACTTGGAGTCAAAAAACCCAAGTATGGGTCCCAGCTCTGCCATTTCTAAGCTCCGTGAACTTTGCTAAGTCATGAAATCCTATCTCTGAGCCAGTTTCTTCATCTGCATGATGTCAGTAATATTTGTACCCCCATATCAAAAGTGTATGAGAAAAATACTTGTAATAAGGTATATTATTTGTAAATAGTTTTCATTGTGGTCAGCTTTTACGTAATCTGCAACCAAATCACCCTTGATCTAATTAAGAAGATGTAAAGGCTTTTTCTGACACTAGTGTTAATTTATTTTATCTCCCTATGTGGACTTTAATGCCAAAACATTAAATCTCTCCCAAAACAAAACAGAAAAGAAGCGCAACTTAGGCTGGAGCTTTCTTTCTATCAGTTTGAAGAGTGATTCTATTTTTTCCCAGGATCGACTGGGAAGAAATGGGAAAGTGGAGAAAATTTTCAATCCTTATCAGTCTTTCAGAGTGTGGCTTCATTTTTTTTTTTTTTGCTAGGCAATGGGGTTAAGTGACTTGCCCAGGGTCACACAGCTAATAAGTGTTATGTGTCTGAAGCCGCATTTGAACTCAGGTCCTCCTGAATCCAGGACCAGTGCTCTATCCACTGTGCCACCTAGCTGCCCTCTGTGGCTTCATTTTTTAATAGCTATAAATTCCCCCCAAAGAAGACCTACTTATATTAAAACAGCAGCACTAAAGCACATTCAAAAGCCAAATACAAATTATTTTGAATTATCTTTCCTCCTAAAAATGATGGTATAATGAATTATTTTCTCTTGAAAATGACTTCTATTTCATCCACAAAATTTCCCCCAACCTTGAAGAGAAGACTTCACTGGATGAAAACTTACAGGGCCAAAAGTTCTCTAAGTTTTCCAGATACGAGTTTATCAAATTTGTCTCCAGCGCTTGTAAACTGAAGGGCATCATCATCCTTTTCTCTGGCATAGATGCCTAAAACAAGACCCTGAAAACAGATGTAGAAGACATAAACATAAAGCATAAAAATATGCAACAAACATGGTTTTACTTTCAAAACGATTCCACAAGAACTGTTATCTTTACAAACATGGATATGTGATTTGTTTCCATCTTAATTAAGTCCCACTGCCTTTCGATTCGATTTTCTAACATATATCCCAGTGAAGTCGCAGGGACATACTTGTCATTAATGTTCAATCTGATTCCCAATATAAGAAAAAGAAAAGGTGCCACAGAACAGCTGTGTAACCTATCCTAATAGTACTCCAACTCTCTGGGTCCACTTTCTTCAACCGTAAAATGATAAAACTAGAATCACTGATCTTTAAAGTTCCTTTACTGGTTATATGATTTTACAAATAGAATCCTACAAACAAATGTTTAAAATTTGAAATGAAACTATGAAATCAACCCATCTGCTCTCTCATGCCCACTGTTTTCATAACACACCCACACCCCTCAGCCCCCATTCTGTAGGTCCAAGACATCAAATAATAATAGTTTACAAATTTCCTCAAAATAGCCTGGTTAAGTATGTTGCCTATGTATGACCATCATCTCATCCACATTTTACAAGAGGAAACGGAGCTTCGGTGAAGCTAAGTGTGACATGGTGAAAAGAACACTGGATGTGGAATCAGAGAAACTCTGGCTCTGCAATTTACCATCTTGGTGACCTTGGCCCAATCTCTGTATAAGGAGAAAGTCTGAGTTAGATGCTCTTTTAAGGTCCCTTCCTGGTCTAAGCCTATGATCCCAAGTGACTTGTGATTATATGCAGCAAGTATGTGGAGGAACCACAATGGTTTTGATAATATCAGTAGTAACTAATTCTATCTACATAGCATAGCTTTAGAGATGCTTAGAGAGGCAGTTTGCAGGCATAAAGGAAAGAACTCCCATGGTCTGACCATGGTCTGAATACCAGCTCTGACCCTTACAGTAACACCTGTGGACCTAGGACGGGTCCTGGTTCCTCATCTGTGAAATGAGCATGCTGGGGCTCTAGGTAGGATCCCACACTTTCCCATCTGTTCCCACACTGGGTGGTCCACCACGGCAGGGAGGAGGCGGCTAAGTCTCACGGCTGTACTCTTCCCTTTGGCAGAGAAGGCAACTGAGGCCAGGGCCAGCTCGTGCATGCCCTAGCCTCCAGAGCGGTTACCAAGGGAAGCCTTTTTGCGTGCCCCCGGCGCTAAGCCCCTCAGCCCTGAAGCTCCAATCCCGCCTCGGCCCCCAATTCTGGGACCCAGGCCGACGCCCCAACCCACCCTGGACGGAAGCCCTGCAAAAGGAGGGGGATGGTCTGCGAAGTCCCTGCCAGCTCGAGCCCCAAGGTCTTAGGGGGGAGCCCCGCGTGGGCTGGGGTAGGAGTGTCCGAAAGCAGCCAAGCAACCCAAGTTCCGGCCCCCACTAACTCACCGGGGGGAGACCTCGGGTGAGTCGCCGCCCCTCTGCGGGTCTCAGTTTCCCCGACTGTAAACTCCGGGACTCTCCCGGGTCCCGGTCCCGGTCCCGCCAACAGTGCGGCGGGACGCACGTGCTCCCAATCGGCACAAAGTGTTTAAGCAGCGGAGTCAGTAGCACATTTCAGCGGGAGAGGCCGGCGGGAAGCCGCCCCCCGCCCCGTCCTCCCTCCGCTCCCGACCCGCCCGCGGCCCCACGCGCCAACCCGAGCCCCCGGCCCGGTCCGACCCGGCCCCCGACCTTGGTCATGGCTCTGCTGTGGCCGAGGGGGCACGACGCGGAAAAGCCCCGGCACGCGAGGAGCTCCGCTCCCAGGCTCCAGACGCTGAGTCGCCTCAGTGCCGGAAGAGGCAGCGAGAACAGCATTTTGTTGGGGCGGCAGGGGCCGCCCTCCGGCGGGCGCGTGGACCGGGAAGGGGCGGGGGGCTAGCGGCCGAACCCCGCGAGGCGGGAGGGGGCGGGGCGGGGCGTGCGGCGCGCGCAGCCACCGGCTGCCGGGGGGGGGGGGAGGGGGGAGGGGGAGGGGGGAGGGGAGGGGCGGGGCTCCGGCGGCGCTCCTGCTCCCCTCCCCCGCCTGGGCTCTCTGGGAAGAAGAGGGCCAGGGTCCCCGCCGACCCCGCCCAGCGCTGGGACGCGCGCCCGCCTCGCGGTCTGTCCCATGTCTCGGGCAGCGCTTTGGGCCTTTCTCTGTGCCCAGCTCGGTGCTCGCTGACCCAGGGAGCGTAGTGGTCAGGGCCGGCCCGGCTCGGCTAGGGTGTTGGGGACGTGGGCAGACCTCGCACGTTACCTGGACGTAGGATCTGGGAGCTGGAGGGGCCTTAAAGACCCCGCCCTTCCCGTTAGACCCTCGCCCCTTCCCTCGGGCTGACCGAGTCCAGGCTCATTATCCTGGACGCTTGCAGGACCTCTTCCCCCCATCAGGTTGGGAGCTCCTGGAGAGCATGGACTGTCTCATCTTCCTTTGTGTCCCCAGCCCTTGTCATACAGGAGGCGCTTAATGCGTGCTTACTGACTGTGTTATAGGCGGTGAGGGCAGAGCCAGGGTTCTGGTCAGTCTTCTAACTCTGAAGCCAGCCCTCTTTGCACTCCACCACTGTGGCAGGAGAGGACGAAGCTTGGCCAAGGTTTGTTTAATCCTGCTTTGGATGTCCCTTGGTTTCTTATGTTTGACTACGGTATTTTGGTGTGGTTTGGTAAAGGAGAGTGAGTTACGGAAATCTGAGCTATTAGAATCGTAAGATTTCAGTGTGGAAGGAACTTCAGAGATCATATTTTCCAGTTCCCCTCATTGTAAAAATGAAACTGCATTCTAGAGAACCAAAATCACTTTTCCCAGAGTCATGCACACAATAAGAAACAGGGCTCTTTCCCCATGCCACTTTGCTTTGGATAAGGGCTTTGTCAATAATGGACGGATATTGGCCCAGAGACCAGTATTCATGCCTGTGCTTCCAACACAATGGAAAACGCTTCGCCCTGAGCCTGCAAATAGAAAGCAGAAACTCAAGTGTTTATAGCTGAAGATCAGACAGGTTCTTATAATCAAAAATTACTCACATTTTTATTGCACATAAAAAGTTACCGCGGGCTTACTTCCTAAAAAACACTGTGAGATAGATGGTACCAGTGTTACTGAGCCCTTTCCATTTAACACATGGGTACACTCAGGGATTTAGTGCCTCTCTCTTGTCATATGGCTAGTGAGTCCAAACTTCACAGAACAAATCCCCTTAATAAAAGGATTTGGTCTGTAAAACTTGGACTCGGTCAAGAGGCCACAGGTGGCCTCAAGGCCTCAGGTTCTCCACCCCCTCAAACCTCCTTGAGGAAACTAAGGCTTTGAGTAGCTAAAGCCTGGAGTGACTGGTATGTGTTCACACAGCTAGTTAGTGGCAAAGCTCAGGACATCACAAAGCAATAGATCATAACATTTAGAGCTGAAAGAATCGTAGATATTATCCAGTCCAACCCTTTCATTTTACAAGCGGGAAGGCAAGCTCAGACGCCATTCCCAGCATGAGGAGATGAGGCCTCTGCCAGAATGGCAACACTAGGGATTTGTTTTCCTTATCTGTAAAATGAGAAGGTTGTATTATGTGATCTTTAAAGACCTAGTGCTAATACAGAATGAATTAAACTGGAAAGACTGGAACTAGACTGGCTGCAGTCTGAAAACCAGCATGGCTAAGAGCAAAGGCTCATCACCAGAAGATTGACCTTGACTTTCAATTTTTTTTGTCCAAGGCAACTTATGAAACATAAAAGTTCAAAATGGCATTTAGTCTTGTGCAGTTACCCTCAGCTTCCATAGTGATAGCTGGTATCTCTTTAATGATCAATATTTGACTTAAAACTCACAAACTTGTGGAAGTGAACTATGTCCCTCGAGTTCTTATGTAAATGAACCCCTTTGACATCAAGAAGTTGCAGTTAAATGGCTTGGCTCACAGGCACATCTCAAAAATGTAGGTAGGAGAGCTAAAAGCCAGAAAAATCTTGAAGCTTTTTTGGCCCTGTATACATGATAGAGGCAGGACTATGAGGGGCTGAGGGGAGAGGGTGAGAGATAATGACCTCACGCTTAGTTTCACCCTTAGGTTTCTATATCTGTCCCTGCCCCAAAATTGTTAAGGGAGGGTAGAAGGGCTTTTATTTTTATTTTTTAAATGAACAAAAATCAAATTTCTCCCCCTCTGTGCTTCGATTAAAAAAAGAAGGCAATAAAAAGAAAACCCCTGTCACAAATGTCTGAACTCAAAACAAATTACCATATCAGCTATCTCCAAAAACACATCTCATTTTATACCCTTAGTACATCTTCACTTGTCAGGAGGTAGGCAACATGCATTATCATCATTATCTGAAATTATCTGAAATCGTGATTGTTCGTTGCATTGATCAGAGTTCTTAAGTCTATCAAAATTGGTTTTCTTTAAAATATTGTTATTGTATAAGTTTTGATTCTGTTCACTTTTCATCAGTTCATGCAGCTCTTCTCAAGTTTCTCAGAAACTGTGCCTTTCGTCATTTCTAAAGGCACAATACTATTTCATTTATTAATGTATTATTTATTCATTTTTTTCCATTTATATCCTATGATTTGTCAATCCATTCATCAATTGTTTTTAACTCTTTGTCATTATCAAAAGAGTTGATGTAAAGACTTTTTGTATATTATATGGGCTCCTTTTTCCTTTAATTTTTCTTTCATTGTTTTTAGAATTATTTATTATCTCTTCCTTCCACTACCCTCACCCCCAACTGAAAAATTTAAATATAGAAAAAGAAAGCCCCAATAACATAAAACAAATTTCCACAGTGTCCATGTTCAAAAATGTATGTTTCATTATGCATTTCAGGTATATCACTTTTCCAGCAGGAGGTAGGTGGAGTATTCCATCCTCATTCCTGTAGGCTTAGGATTGATCAGAGTTTTTTAAATCTTCCAAAACTGTTTTTCTGTATAATGTTGTTGTCATTGTATAAATTGTTCTGGTTCTTTGCACTTTAGATTAGTTCACAGAGGTCTTTGAAGTTTCCCCTGAAACTGGCCATTTCATCAATTTTTTATGGCACAATAATATTCCATTATATTCATATACCACAGTTTCTTTAGTCATCTTAGTTTCTATTTTTTGACTACAAAAAGAGCTGCTATAAACATTCTTATGCATATTTCTTCTTTCTTTGATCTCTTTGGGAGCATAAGCATAGAACTGGTATAGCTGGGTCATAGAGTATACAAACTTTAGCACTTTTTGGGCATGGTTCCAAAATGCATTCCAGAATGTCTACAGCAATTCACAACTCATTCAACAGCTTATTAATGTGCCTGTCTTCCCACAATCCCTCCAACCTCCTTTATCCTCCTCCTTAGTCACCTTTACCAATCTGATAGGTGTGGGATGGAAACTGAGACTTACTTTTATTTGCATTTTTCTAATTATTAGTGATTTGGTACACCTTTTTAACATTAATTTTTTGTCAGTTAACAAAATCAAAGGCAACCTTGTTCCCACAGGCTCTTTTCCTCTCATCGCAAACTCCCTGCTCCCTCCAATTCATCGTTCCTTTTCCTAGTTTTAAAGTTTTACTTAACTCATTAATTCCTTTTTCTTTCTTCCATTTATTTAGTTATCTAATACTTACCCTTTTTTCTCTCAGATAAGTAATTAGGCAAAATCTCCTTTCCTCTCTTCCCCTTCAGTTTCCATTGTTAATTTTTTAAAAATTTCTGCACCTTAAAAAAAATTCTTTCCCTCATTCCCTTCATTCTATACTGTTTCTGGCTCTTCTAACTTGGATTCATGTTCCTTATACTTATTTTTACCTTTAAGTTCCTCCTTCTAAATAATGTCTTATGTTTTTGTATTTTTTTGTTGTATGTTTTGCCCTCTCCCCTCTTTTTTCTGTTGTGCCTTATTCTTAGAAATATCAATTCCTGAAGGAACAGAAAGGATAGAAGTATTGCCCCATGGTAGAAATTTTCCTCTCTCCTTAATTGTGTGAAATATGTCCATTTCTATGCCCTCTTCAAACTGTGGTAATTTTATTTTCCATTTTCCCATGAAATAACCCTGAGTCCATTCCTTCCGACCCGATTCCACTTCTACTGAGGGAGGATGCTGCCTGTGGACACACGTAGTCTCTGTAAGGTTACCATGTCCCATTACTAAATATCTCTCTTCCTCATGGGAATATTACTGAATGAAATTACTGAAGATTTTCCCCTTTCTTTCTCTTGTTTCAATACCTTCCTTTGCCACCACACCCATTTTTCCATAGCCCTTCTTCTTTCTGGGAAACTGCAGGAATAATTTTCTCTTCATTGTTTACAATTGACTCCTTAAAATCAGTTGTAAACAATCCCCTTTATCTTCTTTCTCCACTCTCCCCTTTTATCCACTCTGCCATTCCGTAGCTTAGTCACACACAAAAATATTAATTCACCTGTAGGTGGGGTATTGGGAAATTTAGTCCATAGTGTTTCAGATCTATCCCTCCACCATTAACTTCTTCCATTTAAATTCTCCTATCGTCTTTATCTTGTATACTTTTGGAAAGAAATCTATTAATGAACCTTATGTCATTTTCAGGACCATAGATATTTTTCTTTCTAGCTCGTCCCCCTGCCCCCGCTTTTGTCTGGGGTAATTTATTTCACTTACTATGTTTTCCTTGGTGGCTGTATTTATTTACCTTTCTTGTGTTACTGTTGTCTGAGATGTGGACAAAACATAATCTGCTTACTTTTGTCCTTTCTTACAGAAACACTTCAAATGTCTTTATTTTATTGACTAGCTATCTTTTTTTCCATTGCTGATTAGGCTTAGGTTTACAGAGTATTATGTCACCTTGGGTTGCATCTTGAGTTTTTTGCC